AACAGCATGACGAAAACCGCGTTCCCATGCTCACATTCCGCCATGCCACCAACCAGAAGTGGTGTGGTTGCGAAGGCCAAAACAAAACGGAGAACGGAGGTTGTCGATGTCATGGCAGGGTGCGACAGGACAGGATCAGGCCCGGTAGCTCGAGGGGTAAGGTACCTTACCTTCTGGCTGGTGTACTTGCCCAGGCGGCGGGCGGCAGGTGCTGCGCTGCGTACCTGCCTCACCACCCCGACGGAGAGCAGCACCCCACTCTGGCACCTACCTGCTTGAGCATCAGCAGTCCCTGCACCCTTGTCCGCCGTCGACCCTTGGGCAGAGGCACGAAGGGAGGGGGTGGGTGCTGGCCCGGTACCTTGGCCTGTTCCCACGCTGTGTGTGGTACCTCACCTCACTGGCTGCTCGGATCAAATCCCATCCATGCGCCAGGGTCCGCCCAGCGTGTTCTCCCTCTTGATTCTGGGGCTACCTAACACCCCCCTCCCCCCCAGTATACTGCTGGGTTTGTCGACAGCTAGGGGCTGCTAGTGGCTCTGGGATGGCTCCGCCCTGTGACTTTTCTTAGGCCACTCCAAGAACGTAAGTAGCAAGTGACTGTCGATCGCTTGGTGCGATCGGTGATCGAAGAAAAACGCAAAGCAAGCGACCAAGCCAGGCACGACTTGTTTTATGCGCCCCGGCAGCCTGCCATTTGTTCAAATTCCATCTTCTGCCCACCATCCATCTATCTGACTTTCTAGATCTTCTCTAGACCCTCACCTTTTTCTAATTGTCCGACCTCGCCGTCTTGTCACGCAGCGCCTCTTACTTGGATATCTACCGCTAGCCTGTAGACACACCCTCCTCCATATCCATCCGCTCGTTGCCAACCATCCCGGCCTGTTCCCCTGGTTGCACTCCTTGGACCTCGCTCCGCCACGAGAAATAGATCCGCCTGATCAATTGCCCCAGTCCAGTGTCCATTCATGAGCTACTCGCCTCTCACCGTACCTACGGACCTCAGTAGCCTGCTCTCACTTCCATGCGCAAAATAGCTGCCGTCAAGTCTTAGAACATCCTTAGCAATTTCTCAAGCTTCTTGAATAAGCGCCACTGCAGGCTCAGTATCCGGCGACGCCTTCGTGTTTGGAATTCCAACAGCAATTGCATTTTCAAAGCAGGTCTAGTTTTGGGTCGCCTCAGCTCAGAGAATCGACTCGACCATTACAAAGCACAGCTTTCCCTTGCGTGCACGAGCCTCGGACGAGTCAGTGACCAAATTTACCATTTGCGACGCCCACCGCCTCCTGCCAGAGAATTTGCCAGACGGGAAGGCTAAGACCAAGTCAGCCAAAAAGCCAGGAAAAAGAAAAGAAAACCACACCAATCCAAGTCAACCAGGTACAACCTTAACCAGACACCTGGCACAAGACCCTTCACTCCCCAAGCTCTCGACAGATCGGTCCCTCCCCACTACGCCACCACGCTCGAGCTTTGGAACCGCCTCCTCCCAAGCTACTGCCACCACTATTTGAGCATCTGCCCACCTCAATTCACTTTGAAAACTTTACTCTTTTCCTACCCATCACAATACCGCGACAATGCACGCGAGAGACGCAGCCGGACGCCAAGTCTCGTTATTAAACGACGACAGCAATGGCATCTCGAGACCAATTTCACATCGTCCCTTGAGCTACCAGTCGACTAGCTCTATATACTCACATCCGAGCCCGTCATCCAGGAGCAGTTCCTCCTCGCCTCACATTCCCGAGCTCCTCCGTTCCGACTCTTACGACTCTCAAGCCAGTACTGACCCAATTTCTCCAATGACACCTTCGGTCGACTATGCGTTCCCTCGAACCTCTATCTACCAAGGAAACCAGGAGTACGCCATGGAGGCACCACTGCCCAAGCGACCGGTGTACGCTGATTCAAGCAGAGCACCCTCGTTTGCCGATGACGATGTGTCTCCCGTTACGCCTGCAGAGAGACCCGGGAAGCGATATCCATGCCGCTACCGCGACAGTCATGGCTGTGAGAAAACATTCACAACTTCCGGACATGCCTCCCGACACTCCAAGATCCACACCGCGGAAAAGGCCGTTCAATGCACCTTCCCAGGCTGCCAGAAGAAGTTTACTCGCGCAGACAACATGAAGCAGCATCTTGAAACCCACTACAAGGACAAGAGCCGATCATCCTCGAGCCAGCGCGCACACAAGGCCGCAATTGTCGAAGCACGACGCAGCTCCGCTGCTGGTCGAAGCCGGTCAGCAACGCTACGGGACTCTACCGCGCAGTGGGAGACGGCGCAATACCCCTTGCCTACCACCCCACTAGCTTCACCGAGTAGCAAATGGGACATGCGCGAACTCAACCTACCCCTCCTCGGCCGCCCGTCTACATCAAGAACGCCAAGCAGTGGTCTTGATGCCCTAGCAATGGCGGTAGCATGCCAGGAGGGTGGCGGACACTGATCGTGTTTCGGGGCAATGGATGGGTACACTGTGCTGTGCTGTGCACCTGATGTGTGGCGCACACCAGTTACGGTGACATCCTGCAACACCTCCACTTATCTTCTCCTCACGCTGAAAGCTCTTCCCTGGCCCGGATGCCCCCCCCGGCCAAGGATCCTTTTTTCTCTTCTAATTCTAACGCACGGCCAGCGTCCACATGAACGTCGAGTCCGACTATTCCGAGAGTCCATACCGCGTCCGGCCACCGCCAATCGAGACCAGGCCTGCTAGCCTTGCTCCCAAGGGAAAGCCAGCGAGGGCCACCCCATTTTTTGCCACTGAAGCAGGCAAGCATGGGATTTCGAGCTTTACCATGCGGTGAATATGGGCATCTGATGCGCCCGCGACCTCCACTTCCCCCAATTTTTATCCCGGGGGAGACAACGCAAGGTCCCTAGTGTGCACTCAGTAAATAATGCACTGCCACTTTGCATTGCACAACTGGCTTTCTTTTCTCGGGCGGCCTTTTTTTCTTCCCATACCAGATTCTGAAGAATCTGTCATTCTTGGGCCTCGACAGGGAGCTGTATACGCGTGAGGAGGCCCTAAACGGCGTCGGGCGAGATTATCGATTTTCAAACACGAAAAAAGTAATAGCATGGCGGCGCTATTGGTATGTCTTTGAATGCTGCCACTCGCTGTCGCATCGCCGAGCCTGAAATCATACTCGGGCTGGAGGAGCAGTCAGGTAGTCAGCTTTCGGTTGTATTGAAAGCGGATGATATGGCTTGACACTTGCATTGAATTGGGCCTTGTTAGCCCAAACAAAAACACACACACACACATACATATACACGATCGCGCAGCACAACGCATAGTACATAGGATTGCAATTGCAGCGCTAGAGAGTCACTGGACTCAACCAGTCAATGATACCATTTGAATATTTGACCATGAATTGTCATGATAGGCTTTTGTTAGAATATCGTCGCAATGCGACAAATAAATGTACATAAACAAATATGAAAAGAACAATGTATATATATATGCCTTACTTTCTCCCGCCTCCAAGTGCATGCCATGGAAGCCGCTTACTTACGATGAGGAGCCCGATCACCGTTGGTAGCCGATTGCTCCAACATGACATCCTCCAGGCCTTCCTCGGAATGGGATCACCCATCCCTCCAAAACTCCCTTTCCATCCCGGCAAACCGGAAATTGTTTGCCATAAAGATGGAAAATCTCGTCTTTTTCCTTTTTCCTTTAATACAAACCCCCTGAGTACGCTTCGCATGCGACCGACGGGGGAATGTTAGGCACTCGTCTGACCAGGAAGACCCTTTCTCGATCCCCCCTCCCCCTCCCCGCGTAAGACACACCCTGCATGGCGGAACCCTGCTATGGGCGGCAGACGAGGTTGAGTGGGGATCTCCCTACCACCTGCTCTCGAAAGCCCAGAGCGGTGCCTGTGGATCAGAAAGGTTGGGCCTGGTATCCTAACCTTGATAGGTCCCAGCAGGCGAAGACGAAGAAAGCGATATTGCCCGGGGAAGGGGGGGTATGTATGTAGGTATGTATGTGTGGTTTATACTTTCTACCCAACGCTAGAGTTGGAGAGAGTGTGTGGCGTTGAGCCCTTTTCCCATGTCTCGATTTGGGTTACGGGCGGCGAATGTTTACAGGCAATAGCTTAAGAACGTGGGTAGAATCTGAGTGGCAGAGTTATTTGTTATTCGTTGTTTTGCGCAATATGAGATATTTAATATCTAAGTATGCGCTGTTATTCGCCATCTTATGTGACTTTGCGGTCCCTCCCCTCCTTGATTGACAGCCACTTGCCGAGCAGAGCTTCAGCCCTGATGGTGTGCAGGCCTCCCCCTTCGGCAGGCAGATGGGAGGGGAGGGGATGGTTTACCGGCCGTGGGTTGCTTTGGAACGGCCAAGGCTGCAGGACAGAAAAACGGCCACAGACCAGCCAGAGACATTGCTGCTGCAGCGGTAGTGGTGGGGGGGGATGGGATGCACATAGTTAAGGTTGCGTGGAGGGTGGGACACACCACAATGCGCATTATCCAGGGAAGCAAAAAGCGATTGCTTTTGTTATCGACGTCCTTCGGGCGACGCGGGATGCGCCGGGAAGGGAGCAAGCCACATGGACCGGCGTCCCATCAACTGCGCATTTCGCTTGAGCTCGCACGGCACGAGGGGGGGGGAGCATGGGTTGATGCAGGCATTGGCGCCACTGTCACGGATGTCAGACGCTCGGCTAGGGCTCTGGGAGGGAATGGTCCGGCTCAGGCTCTTGAAACCGTTGCTTTTGCTTTTTTTCGTTGGGAGCTGGACTTTGGCAAATTGCGTGGTCCTAGCACCAGGAGCTGAGCTGGTTTGCTTCTTTTGAATGTCCGTGCAGGGCGGCAACGTTGTCGCTGCGACAGTGTCAAGGCAGTTGGGCTTTAAGGAGCTCAACGAGGCGAGGCCACAGCTGGATGGCCGAGATTAATACCGTACACCTTCCAAGCATTCATATGAAAGGCCGGTTTCGGATATCGGACCAGTATTTCATGCGGTTCGGCCTGGCCCAACTGACGGCTTCTGTGCGAGAAGCTCAGTTGTCTCGATATATAACTCTCTCCCACTCATGGTTGCTTTCACATGCGCATTCCCTTCCAACGCTGATAGCCAGCGATGCCATCGTGTCTCAGGAAGAGGGTCTAACCATCCGCGCAACGGTTGGATCACGCGAGAGAGTCGGATCGCAAACGGCGCAAAGTGAATGTCGACAAGACTTAGAGTGTCGCCGTAGAAGAATGGACCCTAAAATTATTAGATCTCCACGAACAACTGAGATGTGAGTACGTAACTTGGCTCATCCATACCTCTTCTTGTGCTGCAACAACCAGCCGCGCAATCGCGCTCTGAAGCTGGTCGGTGGCCTCTGCCTGCAGGGCCAGATCGCCTGCTCTCAGAAGATTGAAAAAAGCCGGGACAATCTGCGAGTCGATTAATTGCATCCACACTCGAGAATCCGCCTTTTGTTGAGGATCCGTTGGATGAAGCAGGATGCTCGTGTCGGTGTCCTCGAGCTGTGTGATCGGTAGTGTATTTAGTAAAGTCTCCAATATCAGGAACTAAGTGGACTCACGTATTCTAATATAATGCTACTCTCAGCACAGGTCCAGTCACCCTGCCGGATAGTAGGCACGCGTCCTCCTGGGTTCCCTTCGAGGAAAGCTGCTGGAGCTGGTCTATTGTAGGGGTTGATCTCACAGTACTGGTAGGCAATGCCCTTTGCCTCGAGGGCAATCCATACTCTTTGAGAAAACGGGCTATGGGATGTTAGCTTGCCCAGTCCATGTACATACCACACAACGGTGAGGACCTACCAGAAACAAGCCGAATACAGCTTCAGAGCACTATCCTTGTTATGTTTCCTTATCGTAGCCATAGCAGCCCCAGTGGCTCTATGCTGCGGCGGCTTCTGGCTCTTCTTCACCTCCTTCTCCTGCTGCGCGAGGTACCGCTGGATGCTGTTCTTCTTGATCTCGTCGCTCTTTGCCAGCGTATGCCTGTGTGGCCCCGCAACGCCATCGCCCTTCCCGTTGCCCCCGTTGCCGTTGACCCTCTGGATGGTCCAGAACCGCTGCCCGGTCCCGACGTCGACGGGCGGCGGCATGAACGAGGTGTCGCCGGATCCGGAGTCAAGCATGATCTGAGCCCCCGGCGCGTACTCGGTGATCTTGATCTTCACATCGCACAGGTCGCGCTCCCGCGCCGTCCTCTTGCGCTTCTTCTTGTTGGGGTCGTCCGACTTAGGCGTCCCCGGCGGGCGGCCCTTCATCCGGCAGTCCCAGTAGTGGGAGACAAAGGGCTTGCGCTTGTAGCGCTGCGTCGAGCGGTGCGAGTACACATTGTCCACGTGGGGGAAGTACGTCTCGAACTGCTCGTTGGTGAGGACGATCATCTCATCTACGTTGAACAGGCGTTCCCGCCACGCGTCGAGGCCCGGGGGGTCGATGACCATCCTGCTGGGCAGATGGCCAGGTCCTTTGCCTACGGAGGTGGCATCCAGTCTGGCTCCGACGGCCTCACTGGCGAAGGCGTCATGGTGTGGCACTGTGGCGGGTGCCAAGATGCCAAACTGGCCGCCGCCGGCTGTGTTGGTGGTGCTGCCATGCCCAATGCCGTGTTGTTGGTGCAAGGACGAGTGCCCTGCTTGCTGGCGATGCTGCGGGTGCGCATGAGCATGGGTATGTTGCTGTACGAATGACGATGCATCATCCAGCGCGGGCGCGGCCGGATAGCCATCGAGGCTGAGATCGAGGCCATGGACGGGGACGTTGACGTTGACGCGGTAGGAAGCCTGCCCCACGGGGACAGAGTTGAGATCGTGACCGGCTCCGGGTCCCGCCACCGAAAAGGATTCCCGAGATGCCATAGTCCCTCTTTTCAAGGCGGATCCGGGCTGGGGAGTGCTGCTTTTACAACCCCAGCGGAGACGAGGATGCTCGTCTTGCTGCTTTTATGAGTGGTGAGGAGCTTGAAGGGCGGCATTGAATTCGGGCCACATAAGCCCCACGGCCCGTTAAATACATATCTGGGATAACCTGCATGCATAAATACATATCTCAGGTATTACGATATGGAAGTGTTATCATGCGCACAGAGGAACATATGAAACAACATGACTGTCGACAAAGTTGAATAGATGGCATTGTTTCATGCTCTCGTCGCTCCCTTACTCCCATCACCAGTGTCTCCCATGCCCTCATCCAAAATTCCAAATATATACCATCAAGCGTGAGTTTCCATGTTCAATCGCCACCCCCAAAAGTGCGTCGACGTATGCTAATATACACCCTTTCTCCGCTCCCTTGAAGAAGAGTAGCGAAGAAGGGAAGGGAATGAACGTATAAGAATGCAAATGCGTAGATCTTGGTCCACCGTGAGTAAAACGCCATTGTCCATGAATAGCCGAGATCCGCGTAAGTCTATTTCTTGGTAAATCCCAGTCAGAAAAGAGAGAGGTGGTATCCTTAAACCAAAAGAAATTCAAAAAGATCGAAACGTATGTGTGTATATAGTCCATGCATGTTCATCGTCCCATATTCTCATTAGTTGACTCCCAGGGGGTCAGATCCATGGCATCAATTGAGCCCATGTCCATAATTGCTCTCAGAACGCCTTCTCCAAGAGGGGGCAGTTCCGATTGTCCATTCATGGCATCCCAGCCATTCGACAGGTCAAAGCTGCCCTGTTGTTCGTTCATACCAGAAGTCATTGTGAATCCGCTAGAAGCCCCGAAAAAGTTGCTCGCGTCGGCCTGAGACATTAAATTCTGATGAGGAGATATGGGGCTCGCCTGGAAGGAGTTCCCTCCAGAGCCACCTATGGGCCCTGCAACAAGACGAGATCGTAGATCTTGAGTTGCCCCGCTCCCAGTACTTGAATTGGGTGTCGGACCATTTGATTGTCCATCTGGGGAACCTGATGATGCTTGGTTGTCCCTGCCACTGCTTCCTCCAATGCTTTGTAAGCCTCCAGCTGCTGCTATACCGTTACCCGAGCTTGGTGTAAGGCCCGACATGGATTGGTCGGCCGATAACCAATTCTGTGAGTTGAAACCTGCTGAAGTGACTGCCTCGATGTTGTGTATCGTATCGGTGTTATGAATTGCGTCAACGAGATCAGGCGCATTCACCGGGTTCCCGTCATCATCCTTTGGCTTCAGGAAATGGCATTTATACGATTGCATACCTCCCAAACCATCTGTCTTATTGCAAGGTGCATTGGCAGGGTTCCCGCTTTGCCCTCCGTCCTATTAGACGGTGAGTTAGAGTTGCATCCAGTTACATTTGTCGTTATTCCAAGAACTTACTGTGTCATTTCCTCGAAGGAACGCATTTTTTAGCTTAGGTATCCGAGCTGCGAGGGCTTCCAAGTCCACGTCCAATTGGACGAGAAACGACTCGGTTAGCGGATTCCGTCTCTTCAACGCATTCATTGCCGACAATAGGAACCGCAGCGAGTCAGAGGATTGGCCATCATCAGGCCGACTCTTGAGATATTGTACAAAGACTCGAGCCGCAACATAGAGGCAAAAGGAAATAAAAGGGTTCATCTGTGGGGGGTTAGTGATCTCCTTCAAAGGCATCTGCTGAAGGGCATGGTCAAATAAACTTGGATACCGGACGGTACGACTTACAGATGCAAGATCCATGTGTGACACAGTCCTCATTATACTGGTGATCTCATTTGCAGCGGTTATACAGCGAACTTTGCTCTCGGCACCGACTGAAGCCGGGAGCTTATTCTTCTCAGCCTTAAAAATAGCAGCTTGGTGAAGGCATATCGTAGATGTATGGATTGCCATGTTGGTAAAGACGATATTGGGGTTCGCGATACCCTCAGGTAACTTGAGGTGTTGTGGAAGGCAGAGAGATGTGTTGAGGATGATATTATCCAAATGTCGGTGGCGCTTCCAGAATGGGCCATTCAAATCATTATCGAGATCATCGGCATCTGGACGATGGAGGTGGATGAGGTTGCGGCCAAAAAGAGACGCCAAGAGGACTACAGCTCCAAACGGCGAGAGTTTAGAGGCGCCACGGGGCCCTGTTGCATCTTGCAAGCTTAGCGTCTGCTCGGGTCGGCTCATGTCGTAAGCCTCATCCGAGGCGGGGAGGTCTGTCATGATATCCTTCTCGTCTATCGTCATTGGCCAGCCAGTTCCTATGCTTGCATACCGATCCTCGCAGAACGCCATCCAAAATGTGCGCCTTCGTTCTTCACGCTCCGTCCAGTCTTTCGGGGGAGGTAAGCACTGCTTTACATCCAACCCAGTACCATCGAGTCGGTGTAAGCCAATCCTACATGAAGTCAGTTAGCCATATCCAGGATAATACAAATCTTGGCAATGATAGGGTTTTTTTTTTGTTGGATTCTCATACATTTGGGCAAGTCGTATAGCTGAGCCTGTATTGATCCAAGCACGAGGAAAGTACATCATCCTCATCTCATAGCATGATAAGAGAATGTGTGCCTGGCAATGAGCCACAGAAATCATATGCTCTCCGTAGCCTTTAATATAGTCTGCCTCAACATATTTGCGAGCTCTCTGATAGAAGAGGTCTCGCATACCCATGTACTTCTCAGAAATTGAGGAAGCCAAAGTCCACATGGCATATCTCAAGCATACTGGTGGACGCCGAGGGGGTGCGCTATGTTGCCTAGTCAGCATGTGTGTCGTAGGAAGCAAGGTGATGGACAAGCACGAACAGATTCATGGCTGCGAGATACCGGTATCTGTGAATCATGGGTAATGAAGGGTGGACTTTCTCGAAGTAAACTTGGTGAAGCTCGTCAATCGTGTCCTGTGGCGGTAATGGTTCCTCCAACCCCAGTCCAATCATTTCCCATGGGAAATCTTCCCCCCCAACATTATTCATGTTGACGCCCATAGTGGCATTGAAATTGAATTCGTCCATGGGTTGTGCTTGTTGCTGCTGTTGAGGAGAGCCATTGGTGTTAAAGGCGCCATCCACATCCCAATCATTCCCGCCCATCATACCTAAATCTGTCGGCATTGACAGCTTGGGTACGCCTGTGTGCACATTCAGACTAGGACCAGTATGTATCGGGAGGCTGCTCATGGGCTTGGGCTGTTGTGATGCCGTGGCAGTAACTGCCACAGCGCGTGGCTCTTGGGTCTTCAAGAGGGTCTCCACTTGTTCTATACAAGTACAGTCTCAGTATCAATATCCAGAACCGAGCCAGGTGAGCATGTGCGAAGATGGGAACCTACTCAGACGCTCCTCCAACGCCTTGACATAACCTCGCTTGGGTCCGCTCTTCCTCCGCTGTTCATCATAGGCGCACATATGTCCCAAGCGGGAACAGGTGCTGCAGCTTGGTCTCACGCCATCGCATTTTAGCTTTCTCTTCCGGCATATCATGCAGGCTAAACGTTTTGGCTTGGGGACATTTGAGTTGTCGGGTATGGGCGGTTCGCGGGGAGCGGCGTCGACTTCAATTTGGCTCTGCTGGGCATTGGCCGCAGACTCTTCCGGAGAGCTAAGCATGACGCACGTAAGGGAGTATGGTGTTTCAAGACCGGGACGCAAGAGGGACGGAGCGGCGGCGGGGTGTGAGAGTAGGCAAGTGCCGGACAGGACGACTGTTAGTAGATGTCTCGGTGGACGAGTTCGGTGGTGCTTGGTCGGTGGAGGAGGGGCAGCTGCTCCCGCGCACAAGCAAGGGAGTATCAAGCAATCATCCGGCAATCATGAATACAATCTGGTTGGATATCGTGGCGAGGGCTCGGCGAGAAAGATGGGCGCAAGGAACGTTGGACCAGCAATTGAGTGCGAAGGGAGGAGGGCAAGTTGGTGTGCGTGCCGGACATTCAATCATGTCAAGGGGGGATTCGGAGCCGGGGTGGATCCCTTGGGGAAAGTAAAAAGCGAGGCAACGGCGTGAGGATGCTCGAGTCTCGGGCGCAGTGTCGGGAGGGTTTTCTGTCTGTTGGATCTGATCGCGACCCGCCAGAAGGAGGGATCGATCTTTGGGAATGTTGAGGCAGCTAGGCTAGACTTTCTAAACCCTGGAGGCAAGCAACCGGCAGTGACAACGGGGATGGGTCCGGTGGACATCATTAATAAGCCCTCCACCCAGCTTTTACATAGCTGACCTGACTGCAGGTGCCACTGTCCGCGACTTCCCTGGCGCCTACGCTCGCAGACAGTGCCATCCTTGTCATACCTCCTAGCGGAGCCTTAGCGCATGGCACGGCGGGAGGTGAGTGGTATTGAACTGCCACGGGTCTCTGATACAGTCAGCTGAGGGGCATTCCTATGGTGTCTGGGAGTACTGGCTACATGTGCCACTCCAACTCAGCTCAGCGCTGATCCACTCGTCATGGCGATGACAACTGCATCTGGCGGCCAGCAGGGCAGGGATTTCCACGACTCCAGCGGCACACATGGCGCCTGTAGACCTCCAATTGATCCCACCCATCCATCACTCTCTGGCACAGGGCTGACTCTTTGGGTCACCGCTGCGGCCTTGTTGTTCGCTTGGATCACGACCGACTCGCCTCTCTCGATACGCCCGAACCGCCGAGACTGTCCCGCTTCAGCTGCTATCCTGCGACATACCTAATCGATCCAGCTCTCAATCGTTTCCACGCTAGAAGGCAAAGGTGTTCTCCTTGCAGATGTTCTACACCTAAGGGGTGCTACAGCCGTGCTTGCAGGTGCCTAGTGCAGGCACGGCCTGGTGACGAAACTCGTCCGACTCCTTGCAGCTTTACGTGTATGACCTGGCTCATGGTAATACCTCACCAGCATCGCACTGGGTTAGCCAACCCCCTTGTCCACAAATGAACCCATCACCCCGCCTAGCTACTATCACGATATATGTAGACTTCGTGCCCATGGTAGAATGCACTTACAGCAGCTATTCATCGAGCTTTTCGGCTGCTCCTACATCTTTATTCACCCTGAAGCGTATGATAGATTGCCTGGTGTAAGTCAAAGCATTACATTGCTCTTCACCTTGCCGCTAATAAGAGATGGAAAGGCCACCAATTGGGGAATTGTAGGCGGAGGAAGGCAAGTTGGTGTGAGTGCCGACCTCAATCATACCCAGGCGAGATTTCTTGACCCGGAGAGGAGACCGTCCCTTCCGAGACAGGTGTATTACTTTGGTGTACTGCCATGGCCTATTCGTCCATTACCATGTCATACACGCCCTAAGTAATAAGGACTGATTTTAATCCGAACGTACCTAGTCTTCCAACGAACCACTAACCTACATATGCATATCGCTGCAGAATCCGGGCGTCTAACCTGGTAATGGTGGGTATTTATATCCATCTCTCTCGCGCCCAAAAGTTCCAGGGTAGCCAAGGCAGGTAGAAGACAGCTCCCAGGACCAGCACGGTTACACAAACCGCGATCCGCATACTTTTCCTCTGAGGCTCGCTTTTCTCGAGGCTCTTGAAGATTTCTTTCTCGAGATACCTAGTTCGTCGCCTTGTGATGTTTTCACTTCCAAATCGCCACGCTTAGCTGAAGCTCCATCACACGAGCTCTCCTGGCTATCTACACCCGAGCCCTGATTACAGATTCGGAACCCTTGACGGCCAAGCGTTTGGGAGCTGCATCTGGACCACGATTGATCAAGGTGTGCATGTGGGGTCTTCGCCCTGATTAGAATTATAACCTCAATTCATCCGAGGCCAACGGTCGCTACTCAAAGCCACGTCTCGGTTACTGAAGCACGTTAAGAATTGGTAGAATGCCTACAGGGAGGCCAACCACAGGGATCCCGGCCGACTCCCAGCTCCTACGAGGGTATATCGAGCTGAACCATAAACCACAACATGCGTGTTAGTTGTTGGCTCACTACCACAGAGAATGAGTGGCTAGCATCACCCCAATCGCGATTGTATATTCACTTGCGGCTGGCACATATCGACTTGTGGCTGACGAAAACAGGGAAGTTTGACACTACTTGAGAAATAAGTCCTCAGCCAGATATTGAATCAGCGAGAATGACATCGCGAGAATGACACAACTGCTCTTGTGTTTACAGTGGCGTCTCGATCTAATCTTTGGGCCTCTTGATTAGTTGCCCATCACCATTATTATCCATATTTCCAAGAGCGAAAGACTCCTACATCGTGTAGGCATACAAAAGTGCTCAGGAACGGTGTTCATCGTGATCTATTGGGCCAGAGTTGTTCGAATGTACGAGGCAGAATCCCCAACGCCACAAAGCCGCGATAGCCCGCACACACTCGCCCCTGCCAAGTAACACCCTCGTTCCACCGTGGTTAGTGCTTACGAATTGACATCCGTTGATCCTTGTGCATCGGCAGTCGCTCCCTAGGAAGCTGAGAACACAAAGAGAATACATGCCCATCACAGACATGTGGTGGTGCGAGCTGGGGTGTGCATGTGTCCCCGCACTTAGCAATTCGTGCCTCAGCAGCACATGTACATGTGCATACCTGTATGGGGGAAAACCCAATGCGGGGTGCTCATAAGTCCCTCCTCGAGGAGTGCTGTTGACTTGGCAGCCTTGAAGATATGCTGGCATATGCTGGCTGAGAGCTCCTGTGCCACCATGGGGGAATATCTAGCCTTGTACTGGCACCAAGCAGCAGGCTGTTTCTCCTTTGCGCAATATTTTTTCTTCAACACGCCATCGAAAACAGGTGTAATGACAGTGCTCGCCATCTCAGTTCAATATATAACTCCCAAATAAGTTCACTTGCCTCTACTCGCATGTTTTTCACACCTAAAGCTAATATCGCTCCCGCTCTCGACTGGAAAAGCCATACGAGGCTTAACAAATATCCTTGGCTCGATCTGAAATGAGTTGAAAAACGACAAGAAGAAAAATCGACAACATGACGTCAACCGACCTCCATCCCCTCTTGTTCTCGGCTGCTTCCAATATTCTTGAACCCCCAAGCGGAGGGCACGGGTTGGGTGAACTGTGAAGTGAGGTTTGCCAGTTCTTCACCTCATGACCCGATCAGTCAATCAAGAAGAATATTGCCTTGCTTGCAAGAAAGCAAGATGAGAAACCAAGGCGTGAAATCAAGTGATGCGTCTAATATGTTGACTCACTGTGTCAACAGCAGCCAAACCGATGTGCTTGCATCTCTGAATCCCTGCCGCGAATATGTATAAGAAGACCGATTTCTCAGGAAATATCATCGACTTCGAAGTTTCAATCCTCTCCATCCCAGTCTAACTCTTAGCCATTCACCCATTGTCAAGTTTAAGCACAAATTATCTCCAACCTATCTGAACTAGCAGTCTTGGAGAATTCCAAAGTATGTTGACAAATTGTTCTAAGACTTGGGTCTCAACGGACCACTAACATGGATTTGTTATAGAAAATCTCCTTCGATAGATAATCAATCATGTGCCAAAAGCTCATCACTCAGCGAATGTATCGATGTGGGCATTTGGGTGACGAGCCGCCAATGGTCATCCCATACCGCGGCTGTGGTAAATGCGGGAAAATCCAGTATACCAGCCACTTGGGAGGAACCACTCTGAAATCTCCCTGTGATGGCTGTGTACAGAGCGGTGCGTGGGTTCGGTATGATGGCCAGTGGATGACCAAACAAAAGGCAGAGGCGGCGGCTGCTGCTGCTGGAAACAACTGATATTTACCTACCTACCTACCTGAGTAACGAATTGGAAGAGTGTACGCACCGAGGCTTTGCCGAATTTCAGCACTCGTACCTGCCTGCTTAAAGGTCTAATTTGTGCCTGCCTTGTTATGTGTGTACTCTCACTTTCTTCTGCAACCTTGAAAAAATCTCCCAACCACAACACACTTTCCTGTCCACAGCTTCACAAAATGTATTCGGAGCTGCCTTCGTGCCTCCACTCCTTTGATGTCATTTCCCGAGGCGCAACTGGATGGGTTTTCCAGATCGACGATGAAATAGCCCTAAAGTATACAAGAAAGGGCCGCCTGGACGAGTTCCAAAAGGAAAACGCAATCTACGACCTCCTCGAAGAGCATAGAGCTCCTCCCGCCCTTCTACAAAGCTTTCTTAGACTCCCAGGGATCAACTTCATGCCTCTCATGGCAGGCACCCTCGATCAACGGATCAACGACAACCAGCGCCGCGACTACCAGAAAGCGAGATGCCTCGAAGTGTTGAAGTTGGAGCCAACGCAAAAGATTGAGCAGTGGGCAATGGAGCTATCTGGGGCTATTTATTGGCTGGCCTCGATAGGCCTGGCTCACGGAGATTTACGACCTGCCAACATTCTCTTGGATTTCCGGGATCACCTCAAACTGGCGGATTTCGACTGTGCCTCTGATATAGGGTCTGACCACCAAGGGAGCGCACCCCCCTGGTCACGAATGCTTGGACCCGAGGCTGGCCTCAAACGGGGAGCCTATGGAGTTTACGGAGCGGAAAGCGAACAGTTCACTTTCGGCGTTATTCTCTACACTATAACCCGTGGCATCGTGTTGTACGAAGAAGATCCGCCAGGCGCTGTTCTTCTTTTACAGGAGAAGATATTCCCCCCGCTATCAGATGGACATCTAGATCGAATTATTGACCGATGCTGGAAGGGTCAATATGGTTCTCTTGCCGAACTAGCTGAGGAGATGGCGTCTCTGGAGGGTGCAAAGGCGACACGGGCAACACTTCTAGATGATGAACATGTTGACAAGATGCATTGGAGATGCACCCATCTCCTAGCCACCAAGCTCTCGGCCATTCTCGTTGAATCTGTGAATACGGAGGAAGTGGATAAGGTAGCTAACAATTAGAGTAGACTAGTCGGAATAGAAACTGAGAGGAGGTTACATTTCAACTGACACCCCCCCGGCCTCACTGAGCCACCCCGGCCCTGTATTAAGGTTGGCCCTTTGGGTCACCATTGCTACTCTTGCCATTCCCTTGGGCCGCCTGCAGCTTGCGCGTACAACATCATGTTCAGAACGCCTGGCTCATGGTAATACCTAACCCGAACCGTACGGACCCTTGTCCAGAACGAATGCAGCAAACCGTTGCATCCATAACTCCAGAAATGGCCAACCTATCTTCCTAATACAGACACGGCGGACGCATGTCAGACTTGCTGACTGTCAACACCTCCTGAAAGGCCATTCCGCATGCCCACGTGAGAGATCCCCAGGCGTGAGGTGGTATAGGGCGATACTCTTCACTCTACCCTCTGCAGAACTCGTATGAGCTGAAAGGAAATGATCTTCTATCTGCCATGTGCTCATCAGCCTCCTGTTCAGCTCGCCTTGGCCACGTGTATGCAGGCGGCACAAACCCATTGCTGAGAAACGATGATCGATACCCAAAACTCGCATCTCGCATCTCGCTATTGTACGAGCATGATCAACCTATCCTCGCCGTGGCGTTACTTTGAGTTTACGTACTACCCTTTGCTAGATCTCTTCTTACACCGGATATCCATCTCGAGTCGCACAGCGTTACATCTGACCCCCCATACCGAGTCTGTCGTGATGTCCATGTCCCAGGTCATCGGGGTCGCTTAGGAGTGCCGAGCAACGCCCCCCGACTTTTGGGTGGCATTATCGCCTGTCTTCTTCTTTTGACCCTGGCTGCAAAGCTACCGCATTCAGAATATGATCAATGCCTGGAGAGTGGGCGGTCTATAATTAACCGCCATTTGACTTGGATAACCAGGCAACCTCCACCACTACCACCCTTCTAAGAATCATGATCAAGGACTATGCTAAATCTACATCGCGAATCATGTTGGTAACAGAGGACACTACTAGAACGATATTGAGGCCTCCTACTTGATTGCCCGATCCTTATGCATATTATACGACTTATATGAATTCCCCACAACCAAGATTCATTGTCTAACAATGAACGTTTCTCTGAATCTGCCTTGGAAACTACCGAGATTCGAGTATGTGATGTCATTTTGTCACGCAATCATAACTCAATTCACGTATACTCTTTCATCAACAAGCAGTCCTACCCATCAATCCTTGTCCCGCCTCGGCTGAAAAGCCCGCCCAGCCGCCCACCCCATCTAGATGCGCCCAAGTTCTCCAGTTTGTCGGTGCTGAGTTCTCCCGGCTTACATGGAACGCAGCCAGCCCGGCGGCCGCCTTTATGGCCCCCCGTGGACACTACGCCCTTTCTCCAAAAACGTGCAACCATCGCGGAGGCGGGCGGAGGTAGGCGGAGTGTTGTCGCTGATCCCCGCTCGGCATTGGCAAGGCGAGTCTCACACCGACCCCAATAGTTTCTCTCTCAAGTTTCGTCACAGCAACTATCAACCAACGTAACAAAACACCGGGGATATAGATTCAGATCATAAAAGGGATCTCGTAAAACATACTATGATCTCCGCACAACCTGGTGAGAGAATTAGCAAAAGACACTCTGGAAACATGCCGTATAAATAGCAGAGCGACAGAAACAAGGACAAGAATCCCCCCTCTCCCCAGAATCACAAAATAACACTACTTTTTATCATCTATGCCGATGATCCGCAAGACCCCCAGGTCGCTGTAAGCAAGCCAGTACCTCGTAGGCGCCCACGCCACCACCGGGCACGATCCCGCCGTCTTAAAGGTGTGGATCTTCTCTCCCGTCTCCGTGTGCGTCACCTCGAGGCCAGATCCCTCGTCACTGCCTCCCACGACGAAGCTGCCGTCGAATGTGAAGCCTGACGTTTTTGGCAACGCACGGTTAGCGGTCGAACACAATTGTGTGAAGTACCAGAAGACGAATGGGGGAGGGGGATACATACTGATACTTCTCACCGGCCCGACCATGCTCGTGATCGTCCTTTGACAGAGCCACCGGCGCGTGTCCCAGAGCGCGATGATCGAGTCGGAGCCTCCAGTCGCCAGGTACCGCCCCGTGGGCTGGAGCTCAGCCGTGAGGCATGATGACGTGTGCCCGCTTAGTTGGAACTCCTCGTTGTCGCCGTACGCGACCCGTAGGACTGGTTCGAAATTGGGATAGGACAGAATGCGGATGCGCCCCTCGCTCGTGGTCAAGAATATCTTCTCTCCACTCCAGCAGAAGGCAATCTGATTCGTCTGTATGGACTGCTGATGAGATGCCAGGGGGTTAGGCGATGTGGGGGAAAGGACAAAGATATTGTCATCCTGTATGAGAGAGGCCAAAGCGCGTCAGCGTGTGATTCAATTGTCCTTGACGGAAATCATCCTGATCCAAAAAGTTCCCGCCAACCTCCCTGCATCGCTCCCTGGCCAGGGAGATGGGAGATTGGAGATGAAACTAGACGAGGAGGCGTCCTTACCTTGTTGCCCACAATCAGCGTCTGGCCGTCCGGCGCCCATGCCAATGTGAAGGCCTCCCCCAGCCCCTTGACCTCGTTGAAGCAAGCCTTGGTCCTCACGTCCCAGAACTTGGCGACGCCGTCGCTGCTGATGCTGCAGAGCTCAGCGTCCTTGGTGGGATTGAAGGCGACCTTCTCCACCGATCCCAAGTGGCCTTTCAGCTCAGTTGAGAACTTGATGTGAGGCTTCTCCGGGTTCCCTATGGAGACGTTGTCAGCGCATTGAAGCCGACGACGACTAAGCATCCCGGGGAACTGAACTCACAAACTCGCAAGGTCTTATCGGTAGACCCGGTGGCGACCAGCGTCCCTACAGGATTCCATGCAATCGAGCGCAAGCTGTGAAAAGGTCCATGTTAGCAGGCGCATTTGTTCGCAGCAGATATGGCGCGCGCGCGCGTGCTCGAGACAAAGGCAGGCGCCGTGGAGCCGACTCACTTGTTCGATCCCCCCGTCCTAGAGTTGGGATCGTTGTACGGCTGGCTCTTGAGATTGGTGAAGTAGGGCGAGAACCGCTCGGCCGACAAGCTCTGCCGCGGCCTGAGAAGCGGTGCCATGTCCTTGCCTGCGTTTCTCTGTGTCAGTGACATGACGGGCAATGGATCAATTGGGAGGTGAGGTCAAGATGAGCTGGGCTTGGTAGGATGGGATGGATAGCCATTGCAGAGACAAGAACTGGACCTGAGACATGCAGGTCGATGCAGTGTTAGGTACTAAAGGTGTAAATGAAGGTTTGAGCACATGCGTCCATTGTACGTACTCACCTGCTGTAGAATCGATGCGCCCTGGAAAAAACTGCGAGGCAAGATGAAGTGAATTGAAGCCGCTGGATGCGGTTGACGACAGCACCCAATGCGCGCCTGTTTTCCGGCCCTACAGGGTGTGCTAGGGGGTCTCCAGTGCCCCCCATGCCTGGACCCCAGCCAATGTTCAATGGAGCCCAGGCTAACCTAGAGTTAGTACAGAGCTGCCCACCACTGCGCCATTGAGCTCGTCCCAGAGCAAGTCCCAAGAACAAAGACTGGATCGAGGATGTTGTTGATATTGAGTGGACCGGCCAACTACACAGGCCATCATCACAATGCTGCACCATAGCACGCGTGTTGTTGTTATTCAAGCCAGGAAGGAAAACAACAAACCATACAAGGATAATCCAATCATGTTATTACACTGTCCAGCGCACTTTCAGAGTGCCTAGTCTATTATTCAAAAGCCATGATAATATGTGATTCCACGCAATGCAATTCTCTACTCTTCATACAGTAACTACCGATAATCCCGTCATGATATATGCATCTACAGTTTCCTTCCACGGGTTGCCTGACAGGAGTCACCCAGAGCTAGTGCCCTGCCGGATGCCCTTGATCCCAAGCCCAGCCCGGGATGGGACGAGGTTTTCACCCACCAAGATCGAAAATCTCGGTCTTCATACCATATACTGTGACTCGTGTCCTCCAATCGGGAAGCTGGGTGCCGCCCAGTCAATAAACCAATATCCTACGCCTGCTTTCGCCCGTGACTCCATGCGCCAAATGCATTTTAAACAACAACAAAAAGTGAGACTCTCAAACAGAAAGGGTGGTTGGATCGAGTGCTGAGCCCGTGGAACCGCCGAGCGAGGGTTGTCAGATATTAGAGTGCGGAATATGTGAACAGGGTGAGTGACGACGAAGGTGAAGTCTCGGCGACCCATGATCCAACCTGGCTTTTGAGACCAGAGCATGCTAACCAGGCCGTGGTGAGGTTGGATTTAGACTGTATCGTAGCGTGGCACCAACGTTCTGCGATCCAACCGCGCGTTGTTGTATCCAGGATTCTAGACGTATATGTATCATGTCCCAACGCAAGGATCATGCTGTCTAGTATTCAAAACACTCATGAGATTTGATCGAGGCTGAGATCGAGATCTGTCAGGCCAAAGGCGGCAGCGCTCTTCTTTGCCCAAGTTCGTGCAAGGATCGAAGCTTGAAGAATGTTAGCTAGTTACTTTTCCATTGACATAGTATTGCGCCACATACCCTTGAGGAACTTTTTGCTCGCATACTTCTTGAAGAATGCTTCGTGGCAGACTGGACGGGCGAGATAGTCCACCATGAGGTGAACCACAGGCTCGACCTCCATCTCGGTGTAGCCAGCATAGTAAGCAAGTGTCTCATCCTAAGTTTCGGGTTAGTCACGAGAGCTTTTAACGAGTATAAAGATCGACTTACCCATTCACCACGGTCAAGCATCAGACGGGCTAGGTACATGGCACCTGCGGCAACATGGCTGGGGCGGTAGGCGAGGAAGCGGTGGTCAAGCAAGCTAATCTCCATCAGGTACTTGCCGACAGTGCGGGTCTGGATGTCGTAGTTGTCTGCCTTTGATACCCGGCGGAGGAAGTTCATGGGGTTGGGGTAGCTGAGATCGTAGTTGAGTGTGCTCAGGATGAAGCGTTCCGCGCTCAGAATCTCAGCCTCGCTAAAGCCATCATCGGTGATGCGCTTGAAGTTCTCAACGTGTGGCGATAGAACCTCTTCGTACTTGGATGCAATGAACATGGCGGTGATACCAACCAGCTGAAGTCGGTCGAGCTGAACGACCTTCTCTGATAGGAAACGGTCAATGATGTTGATGGCGAGGAAGAGTGTCTCAGGAAGAAGGTGGAAGCGGGTGTGGACTTCAATGAGCCAATCGATGAGAATACCGCGCGTCTTCCACTCGAGATCGTCCTGATGGTACATGTACTGGGGGTTGGGGACGGAGGAGACCTCGAGATCCCGCAAGTACTCGAAAATTTCTGTGGCGTACTCGGCGACCATGAGAGGGTCATCAACATCCTCGCCATCGAGGTCAGGAATGGGTCGCGCTTCAAAGGGAGCTGGCTCGGCTTTCTCAATCTTCTGTCGCTTCTCGGAGTCAGGACCGTGTGTCTTCTTTCGGGCAAGTTCGGCCTCGTCTGTTGTGACGGAATCCTCCCGGTTGTTGGATGTAGAGACGTTCTTCCTCTTAATGGTACCAGATCCCGAACCATTCCTCTTGGGCTCGACGGCGGGCTTGTTCTCCTTGGCGGCTAACGCGACACGGCTGCTGGGACGTGTGCTCTTCTGGACACGCGAAGGTTGAGCAGTCTTGGAAACGAGACTGGCCTTGCCCGCAGCGGGCTTCTTGCCCTCTACGACATCATTCTTGCCCACATTGCTGACATCACCCAACGCGGCGCGTCTTCGTGTTCCAGCTGCGTTTGTCACGTTGGTCGTGGTCTTCTTTGTCTGGAGGGCTGTCTTGGAAGGCATGGACAATTCATCAACGGTAAGAGCAGCGGCCTTGGCTCGTGTTAAACGCGTTGAAGTGCTGTTCTCGTCGTTTTCTTGGGCCACAAGGCGTTGGCGGGCGGCTGTGGGGCGTCCCTGTGAGAGAGCGTCTTCATTAGCATTGATCACGCGAGGTGGTTTCCAAAAGCCCGAGAGGAGTATATTCTTACAGGAGGCATATTCGTAGTGTGACTGTGCTGGATATGTTGTGTTCAATGCCTGGGTCGAATTGCCTACACGGTCAGCGCGTGTTTGATAGAAGGTGGAAAAAGGAGCAAGATGGGGGCGGTTCGTCGAATTTAGCGATTCGAGTCGAGGAAGGGGAGAATATAGCTTAGACAGGGCTAAGACAAGTGAATCAAAAGAAGATTCCCGTCACTTACCTCTGGTGCAGAGATAATGAAGGGCGGGCACACTTCGCGTTGGAATGGTGAGACAATGAGGTTGATGAGTTGATGTGGCTATACGTGTTGTATGGTGCCTCTGTGTGCTGGTGTCTTGTTGAAGAGAGGAGTAGAGTAGACAAGAAGTCGTAGAGAGAGAAAGGTCAACAAGACAAGAGACTCGAGTCCAGCGCGAGGTGTTTATGTTGAAGAGGACTGGTGACAGCTGCTGTGAGAAAGTGTTTTGAGGAGCGGAGCTTGGAGCAGGGGAGGGACGTGAGCGCGGGCACGAGGTACGTACCTCTGGCGTCAAAAAGCGCGGTTCGTGAAATATGAGGCTGGGTCGTTGCTACGTCAATTCCCCTTGTCCCACACTAGGAGGAGACCCAGGATTATTAGACGAGGCCGTGTTTTCGAACGGGCCCGAGCAAACTGATTGGATGAAAGCATATAATCCTATAACCCGCAAATCAAAGCCAAGGGAGTTTCGATGAGACACTGATGGTTTGCCTCCAGGCTTTGGCTGTGGCGTGGATTGGATCTTGAACAAGAACAGATGATACAATAAGAGACAGGTGGAATAATGTCTGGAAGCAATTGCAGAACAACAGCTCGAGTGCTCGTTGCTATGCAGCACACTAGTATATTCCACAGGATGTGTGCACAGCATAAGAACGCGACTTGCCTTGCTTGTGCTTCCAAAAACGAGGTATCAAGAATGCCCAAATCGCGAGAACAGGGCAACAAGCAGGGTACGTACCGGCAGCTCTCCACAAAAGTCCACTTTTATGCTCCAGAATGACAATGACAACAGTCGCAACCGCGGAGCAACGGCGATCTAATTGGCCACCGGCTGACCAATGCGCCAAGCATCAGTGTCGCGACGGTGCATCCGCCGGCTGTGGCTCGTCGCGCCGTTTGACCCATCGGCTTTGTGGCTCAGTCTCCCTCACTAGCCACAGGTTCCAATGCCCCACTATCCTGCTCCGGCTCAATGTTTCCCCTTGATGCCGTTGGAAATTTCACAGCTCACCAGATTGGAGTGGGATATCGGCGCACCTCACTACGACTGGCATCAGGAGTCGTGTCGTAGAGAAACGACGACAATCGTCGTGCCAGAATAGCCTCAGTGCAGGCCCATTGGAGGTAAGTGGGAATTGAGATGTGATCCAGACCCTTGGGTAGCCGGTCAATGAAAAGAATCGATATAAGGTTCCACATGAGGCTTCTTGAGCGTCCACTGGCTTCACTTGACACTTTTAGATCGACCAATTGACCAGTATATCTCCTTCACAGAACCGAGGACGAGGCCCGGGATGTTCCAGCCGTGGCAACAGCTGGCCTTTGCTCAAAGGGCGTTGCAGCGCTTGACGCTGAGCCCCTTCCAGCTCCAGCTTCGATCCTACGCAACGAAGAAGTCGGCCAAGTCCAAAGCTAAAATCGAAGCGAAACTCGCAAAGCTTGGCGATGCATCACAATCAAAAGGCGCAAATGGCGGCTCTGCCGTCATCCGAACCTACAAGCCCCGTACGCCCGGTGTTCGGCATCTGAGGCGTCCAATTAACGACCATTTGTGGAAGGGCCGCCCCTTCCTTGCGCTCACATACCCGAAGAAAGGCCAATCGAAAGGTGGACGAAACGCTTCCGGAAGGATCACTGTCAGACATCGAGGAGGTGGTGCCAAGAGGAGAATCCGCGTCGTCGATTTCGAGCGCAGGGTACCAGGACCCCATCTGGTAGAGAGAATTGAGTATGATCCTGGGCGAAGTGCCCATATTGCTCTCCTGAGCGAAAAGGCGACGGGGCGGAAGTCATACATCATTGCAGCTGACGGTATCCGGGCTGGCGATGTTGTCCACAGCTACCGCGCTGGTATCCCTCAAAAGCTCCTAGCTAGCATGGGCGGTGTCGTTGATCCCGGTATCCTCGCCTCAAAGACCGCCTTCAAGGGCAACTGCTTGCCAATTCATCTGATCCCTGTGGGAACGACAGTCTTCTGTGTTGGATCTGCTGCATCCAGAGGGGCCGTCTTCTGCCGCAGTGCCGGTACATCTGCCGTTATTGTGAACAAGAATGAGGAGACCAAGGACGATGGTTCCAGGGTGATGACTGGCAAATACGTTGAGGTTCGACTGCAGAGTGGCGAGGTTCGACGAGTAAGCAAGGATGCTTGCGCTACGATTGGTGTTGCTAGCAACGTCCACCACGCCTTTAGACAACTCGGCAAGGCTGGACGAAGCCGATGGCTCAACATCAGGCCAACCGTTCGTGGTGTGGCCATGAACAAAGGTGCGTATAAAGAAGAACCAACCCTCTCATTTTCATCACTCACAGCACATGCTAATGCCTTTTTCTAGTTGACCACCCTCATGGAGGTGGTCGAGGAAAGTCGAAGTCTAACCGCCATCCCGTCACGCCCTGGGGCAAGCCTGTAAGTCCAACTAACTTATCCCCAACAATACGAGCCCCAGAGATAGTAGCTAATACATTCTACAGACCAAGAGTGGTTTCAAGACTCGCCGCACTCACAACCCCAACAAGTGGGTTGTCCAAGCTAGACCTAGAAACCATGGTGTCAGGCGAAGCAAGCGCTAGTCGGAGTGATATTCCAGCCGCTCATATAGAATTTGCAAAGACTGTGTGGGTGGCATGTATTCCAGAAGCGAGATTTGTATCATACAAGTGTTATATTAGAAATGCCTGGGTCAAATGTGTATATGCACTACCATCAAAAGCACTAGGTCAATTTATGGTGTATAATAGGATCTGCAGTGTGGCTTCGCAGCTGGAAAGGTGTCAATCACCCCCACTTGAGAAGGTGATCCTTCGCCTTGTCTGAACATCTTATTCCATAGGTCTTGTGTAACTGAAAACGAACAGACCCCATCCAACAGACCACCTAATACCTAAGTACATCTAGTCAGATAGACATACTGTTCTGCGATAGGTTTCAATCTTATTGGAAATGGAACCTACGTTCCCCATAGCTCAGACGCATCTTTTAAAGAATCTTAACTGTCCCTACTCTGAACACAAGGCAAGTGACAAGAGCAGTACCTTCCCTGCGGCATGAGTGGGAGACAAGCCAAACTTCAGCTGCTTCTCATGGGTAGGAAGGATAAACTCTATTCTCTGATCACCACCCCACGTTTCACCAATCTTCTTATTGGACTTCGTGTTCGGCTGAGCGGGATGTGCATTGAAGACCTATTTCCTCTTCTCATCCGGGCTCTCTGTAGGCGCCATCTTCCTTGAGTTTTTGTATTCTTGATTTTTCTTCCCCGACCAACTGATTTGGTTGGTCTTCCAATGCCTTGTGTGCGTCAAAGTGGTCATCCATACTACTGGGGTCAAATCCATCAGATTGCTCTCCTACAATATTTGAGATGGATGAGAGCAAAGACCCAACATTAGTTTTGAGACCATTTGAACCTGAGGTATCACTAAAGTTGGGTGTTCTCGGTGGGTTGCGGATTTGAAGAGGGCTCTACTGATGCTCAAGTCGCACTAATTCTTCTTGCTTGCTCGAATGTCAAGAGTCTCTATTTCGAGCAACTAGAAGACGGATATAACTTCCCCTTCTACCTAAGACTGTCCAAAGTCCCTTCAAGCTCAACTAGCCCCAGTAGGGCTCCAGTGTCCGGGAGGTGAGGTACACAGCGCTAATCAATAAGGGATTGCCTTTAAGATCTCCTTCAGTTGCAGGTCCGGATGGTTTTGCGCGGTGAATAATGGCGGCACTTAAAGGTACTGACGAGGGAGCTATTTATGACAAAGCCTTCCTGTACCTTATCAACCTCACACACCAGACTTGCGGAAGGCGCGGGAGGATGCTCTCATTCGAGGTCATCGGATGAGACAATCCCCCACATAAGCCCGGAGGTTATGGCACTGCAGTGGGCGCTGCTTAGCCCCAAAATGAGATCACTGGAAGCTCAAACCCCCACCGATCGCCCCGCGAGCCCCGGAGAATTGCATGGGTTTGAGGCTGCTATCACACAGGACCTAATAGCTCTAGCACTGTAGGTCGATTCATGCCATGATCTAGTAAAGTCACAGGCAGTCCACGACCCCGGCAGTACTTGGCCATAGCTGCCGTAGAAGTATTTCAGATAGCACTAGCAATAGCTAAAGAGCAGAGCAACCCAAATGAAGCTGCCCCCATGTGAGCGACTTCCTAATCGAGTAGCTTGCCCAGCAGCTCGTGAAGCCCGAAACCGAGCACAGCCCGATGCGATGACATGAACAGACAAACTCGACTTGTACCAAGAGTACCGGGTACTTTAATGACATCGTGTCTGCTCGCTCGCTAGAAGCATCCGATGCAATGGCATATTGCCCTGTTTGCTTCTCATAAATCAATGTCTAAGTTCTGATACCGTTTGGCTCCTTTCATGATGCAACGTTCTTTCCCGGTGTGAAAACATCGCGACTCTCTTCCATTTTGGAGACTACTAGAATTCAAACTTGAAAAAAATATGCATGATTGCACTCTATCTACTAAGGCGCATCCCTGCCGAAGGTAATTCAAGTTGTTTAATTACTTGCTAGTGCCGCCCGCCTACGTCTTTGGGCGGGTCTCACCCACCCGTGTGATTCACATTACATCACCAAGAGACGAAGCCTCATTCCAGGCCGCTCCCTCCGTGTTGATAGGGCTGTCTTACATTTTGCGACAGGACGCTACTTCCTCCTCTATATCCCTTGCCTCCTCCGCCTCTCATTCCATTGTGTTTTCCCTCCCACATGGTTTCTATCCGTGGTCACCACCGCCGCAGATATGGATAGGTCGACAAGCTTCATTCGCTCGCAGAAGCGCCGGTTCCCCCTCAAGGTGATTCTTTCGTATATTTTCGATTGGATTGTTCTCGTCATTCTAGCCCTTATTGCCCTGGCCTTCGAGTTCATCCAGCCCAACAGACGCCCGTTTTCTCTCAACGACCCCAACATCTCGTAGGCGACCAACCTTCTTTAAATATCCCAGTGAATTAGACACTAACAAGAGCTTTTCTCTTAAAGATTTCCTTTCACAGAGCATGAGACCGTCCCCACCTGGCTCCTCGTTATTTTAAGTGTTATCCTCCCTGCGGCCCTGGTCGCCATTGTCGCTCTATTATTCGTCCCAGGTGCCACTGTTCCAAAAGGCACCCCCCATTCGCTCGTATGGAGAAGAAAGCTATGGGAGCTCCACGTTGGCTGGCTGGGCCTCGCCATGGCCCTCGTCTCAGCCTGGTTCTTCACCCAGGGCATGAAGAATATGTTTGGAAAGCCTCGCCCCGACCTCCTCGCTCGCTGCATCCCGGACCTTGATAACATGGACAAGTACGTCGTCGGGGGATTCAGTGGCGAGGACCCTTTGGGGAGGCTCTACTCAGCTGCCATCTGTCAACAGACAAGCAAATCCAAGCTCCGAGACGGCTTCCGAAGCTTCCCAAGCGGTCACTCCTCCTTGTCCGCCGCCGGCCTGGTGTACCTCTCGCTCTTTCTCGCCAGCAAGTTCGCCGTCACGATCCCCTTTGTGGTCCCGAGTGCCGATCAGAATCAGCCCCGCGATCACGCTGCCTTTCCCTCGCGCGGCGCCAAGGAGACGGCCCACGGCCAACACAATGCCCAGATTCTGTCCATTAGACGCCAGGCCGCGGCGCCACCGATATACCTGCTCGCCGCCACTCTCGCACCTTTCTGCCTTTCCATCTTCATTGCCGCATCGCGCTGGTGGAACTTCCGCCACCATGGCTTCGACATCTTGTTCGGGTACCTGATGGGCTTGCTCTGCAGTGTTTACAGCTTCAGATATTATCATCTTCCTATCCAACGCGGTGCAGGTTGGGCGTGGGGTGCCCGCAGCAGCGATAGAGCTTTCTGGGCAGGAGTCGGCCGCGTGGGATATGCCCAGGAGCCCGAGATGTCAAGTTCTCTGGGGAAGCCCGAACAAAACTCTGACGGCCCGCGACGGCACAACCCCGATATACCACCTCCCCCTATGGGCCCCCCTCCCAATCATGTGGCACACCGTCCTACCAACCGCACGATGGAATATGATGCGGGCTATGGCAATGGTGGTCAATTTCACGATGTCGAGATGCAGAGAATGCAATAATTCAGAGGACGTTTTCCACCAGACGAGATAGACGACTCCTTGATGCTGTTATGTTTGACCTGTTGATTCAGTTTATATTACCAGAGATGCCTCCTTGAGACATGGATATCGGTTTTAATTTGTAGATATGTCGAGAACTCATGGACAGGAAGTCCCAGAGACGAAAATGTCTAGGCGCCTCGGTTTACAATTATAGTAATCAGTGGTTAGTTTCATATTCTTATACAATAATGATCAAAACATGAAATTATGAGATGCTTCTTTCGGGAGAAAAAAACGGATGATCGTAATATCTGCTCCTATATCCATTATCAACACACACGGGCGTCGAATAACGTAGGCGTATAGGTCAGCCCGCGTGAAAAATTTATACTATCTACTAGTATTATGAAATCGTATAACACCAATTCTTTCCTTTAACGCCGTCCAAAACAAAGTCCTAGTAGATTCAATGATGGGGAGGCCTTTGAAGAAAGAAGATAAACGGATGAACAGGGGCGCGCGTGCCCGCGATTTTTGCCCTTCCTTCCTTCGTTTCGGAGGAAAATAAACAAACAAAGGCCGGCTGATCCACCTCACCCAGCCATTCTCTTCCCCCCCTCAGCGGATGTTCCCATCGGGGGCGGCGATCATCCTGCCGCCGTCCACGCCCTCGAACTCGACATCACCCTCCTCATCGTCCTCGACGCCGTCATCGCCGCGGAAGCCGGTGTCGACGTCGAGCTTCCGCAGGCGGCGGCGCATGTCGTCGCGCTTGGCGCTCTGCCAGCGGACGAGGGCGGCGGCGGCGTGGACCTTGAACCCGTAGACGCGCGGGATGTAGCGCTCGGTGCTCTTGGCGGGGATGAGGGCCGGGTAGACCTGGAAGATGATGTTGTGGAAGGAGGTGCCGAAGTAGGCGCCGTCGATGGCGGCGTGGCGGGACGACTTGGGGTTGTAGATGTCCTCGCAGCGGGCGCAGTAGAGCTTGACGGGCTTGAGGTTGGGGATGTCGGACAGGCCCATGGGCAGGAGGGGGTGGGAGTGGCACATGACGCGAGGGCACTTGCCAAAGTCGGCCTTTTTGTACTTGTCAAGCTATATGGGACCACGGTTAGCTTAGGAAGTACACGATATACTCCACGTAGTAATACGTTGGAGGCGAGGAGAGGGAGGGAGGGAAGAATTTCTTACCATCTTGGCCAACCCCCTAGTGGTCACCACGTATCGTGCGTGAACGAGTCCATACAGGTGCCGGGCCGACTTCTCGATGGTCTCCCGCATCTCATCATCGCAGTCGAGGTCGAAGACGTCCGTGACGAGGTCCAGCGCATACTGGTAATACTGTACTTCCGTGTTCAACCCAGTCAGGTTGAACCGATCAGTCAGATAGTCCTCGTCAATCTCGCAGAAGTACTCATTGCCTCTGGATGAGATAAACTAAATCCACCCAAGAAAAAGAATATTAGCAATTGTCCCCTCGTAGAAAATCAAGGATGTGACAGGCAGGTAGTGGTGGCGTTCTGCTGGGGTTTGTTGCTAGTAGTGTGTGACGCTCCAAAGCAATCCCCTGGAAACAGCAAAAAAAGGGCATCGCCTCCCCTGCCTGAGCCCTAGCAACGCAGTCGCACTCACCCAGTCTCTCCAGTAGCTGGTGTAGTCGCTGTCCGACTCGCTCGCAAAGTCCTCCATGGTCGATATATCGGCGTATCAATCAATTACGAGAGCAGTTCGCCCCAAGGTGTCGCAGTGAGGGGGCGGGGACCAGGTGCAAGGATGCTCAGGCACGAGCGACCATGACCCGAAGACAGAGAGAAACCTGGTCGACGATCCCCAGGTAGAATCCGGCGAGCACACAGGCCGACTCGTCTGGTCGCGAGGCGTAGCAAAGGCGGGGCGCGCTGGTATCAGAATATGCTCGCCTTGCTCACGAGGCCAGACGCAATGGCACAGTTGAAATTGGGAGGCCTGGCTGGGCTGTTGAACGCGAGAGCAGCCGGGCGGTGCTGGATGCTGCGGTGGTTGGCGTTTTCTGTCTCGTGATAAGGCGGCGAGACAAGCGGCGATGAGGTAGTTGGCTTCGAGCCGCAGCGGTCAGAAAGTCTAGGTAGAGGTTCGCAACTTACGTACATTTGCACACAGAATTCTTAGTGGGGGATCCCCTCACATGTCAGGGTACGTACCTCAGACCCACGACCACTATCCCCTGCCTACCCGGTACCCACTCTGCTGGGACATTCTTGCCCTCAGGAACGGCCTCTTCCTGGGGTAAAGACCTACAAGCTTTCACAAGGAGGGCAATACTAGACCAAGTACTTAACAATAGATGCACGGAACAGGATTCACGTGGCAAGTAGCCAGAGATGATGAAATAACAAGACAATTTTACAAATGCCCATGGTCTATTCTGCTATTGCAGTTATATACATGTTCATATCCCGACGCAGCCCTGCATATGTTAGTCGGCAGTTGGTTCGCATGCATATTCCAAAAAATCCCACCAACCTTCTCTACGCGTCGATGAAAGTTGACTTTTCATTATTAATGAATTCTTGTTTCATATTCGCCACCGTTGCTGCTGGATAACCTTCCCTCGAAAGTGACCCGTGAGCAAGCCCGTTCTTTGTATATAATAAACCTTTCTCCAGGAAACGGCATGTCCGAGATATACAATATTGATGACCCATTCCCGTTAGATTTTCTAAACAACTCATATAGAAAGCAACCACAATTTCAGGATATCTAATTGGCGGGCTCTTTAAAGGACAAATAACTCCGATGGGCCTCATTATGCAAATCTCAGCCCGAGACCTTGCGGGCTATCCAAGGACTCGATGCTCGCAACATCGCTACCGGAACGCCTATCCGAACCAACACTGTCATCGTCTGTGGAGACGGCCTGCTTTGTCCCATTTGTGCGAGTGCGCGGTGGGATTGCCAGCCGATTGGCAACTGCATTTTGCTGCGGATCATTGACAGTGATATTCACCATCCTCATCACTTCCTGGAGCACTGCTCCAGTCTCATCCATGGCCGCCAGGAAGCGGGCCAGCTCCTTGCACAAGTCCCACTCACCCTCGTTCATTGCCCTTGACAAAAGCCGCACCGACTGTTCAGTCGCTGCCTCAAGCTCTTCCAGAGTATGCAACACGATCAAGTAGCCACCTGCCGTTTTTAGGGAACCTCGCTGCAAGGATTCCTCGAATAATTCCTGCGCGGGAGGGAGATAAGCAAACAGGGTCTTCCATTGTCGGACTTCCGTCTTTCGGGTGCACTGCAAAACAACATCGAGATACTCCTTGAAGGAGGAAAGAAGGGAAAGAACGCGCGGCAGAACAGCGTCTGCTGGCTCTGGTGACGTATCTACCTCCTCATCCAGAACACGGTGCAACAGCATTTCTAATCCGTGGGCGAAATACTCCAGGGATCGATATTGCTGTGCCAAAGCAGCCGCTTCCTCTGTCCGGTTGAGGCGAAGGTAAAAGCGAAGGATATCAGGTAGAACAAGATGAGTCTGTAAAGTTAGCAAGGAACTCTCCCATGGGGCTATCATCGTGGTGAATGGCAGTCTTACCCTGATTGCGAAGTGGAAGAAGGAGAATGACACATCTCTCCGCTGAACCAAATCCGACTCAACACCTAGAACAATTCCCTTCTCCAAAAGAACAGACAGCGGGTAGAAGTCAACCGGGATGGACACTGCATTTGGCAGTTCTCTCGTGCTGCCATCGGATACAGCCTCGAGGACCTCGCCAAGGTCAGTCCATGCCTTCAACTCCATGCCATCAAACACCCAAAGTGAGTCTTTCAATGCCAAAGGCCCTTGGGACGGAATGCTGTCCTCGCCCTGCCTAGTGATATTAAGTAGAGGTTGGTCCCTCATAGTTGCGTAGTATTCCACATTTTGTGCAATAACTCGCATATCGTATTTTAAATGTCCCTCGTCATTGAGCGAGGGTGATAATAAAACCAGCTTGCCATCGACCAGAAAAATCACCGAGGCCACGACGACATCCTGCGAAGGGTCGCCATCACTAACCTGACTATCTGGTAGTAGCCAACTTAATGCTCGCACGCGTGCTGGCGATCTTATAATGCCGTGGAAAGCAATCTGCCCAACCTGGATGGGACGGATGGACCCATTGTATGGCGCAAGAATGTAGTGATATAGAAGATTTTCGTAGGTGTATACCAGAAGTGAATCGTCGCCTGAAGTGGTCACTAACACCACAGGTGCGGGAAGTTCCTCCCTATGAAGAACCCGTGCGTTATCCAAGGCGGTCTCGCGCGAGAACAATCGAAGTTCAAAGGACTTGTTGCTGCATTCAACTGCAGCGATGAGCACGTGCTGGTACCAGCACATGCCACCGCGTACCTGGAACTCATTCTCTGCCGCCTCATTATCAAAGGTCTTCCATCTCCCACTGTTGACACTGTAGTGTGCCAGTCCACGGCGACCTGCAACTGCAACATACCGGCCATCCGGAGAGATGACGGTTTGCCGTATCGGCCACTGTTTTAATAGATATGAAGCCGGCACTCTTGAGGTATGCCAGAGAAAAGGCTCTGCTGAGATGCTTGTGAGGTCAGGGAGATCATATCCCCGATAGACCATTACACTCGTAGGAGTTTGGAGGACGCTACGGAGCACATTTGCCTCGTTGTAGCAGCCCGTCACCGCACTCTTAGCCATCTCCAGTGACCAAACTGCCTCATGCTGTCGTCCGACCATGAGGATCTCAGTCCCACCTCCAATCCATGACGCCTCGGTGAGCCCGCGAAGCCACTCTTCGCCATTGATCTTAGAAATGATCTCTTCCGAGCCGAAGCTATTACTGCCAAGCTTTCCATACATGGACCAGGTTGACCATCCCTTCTCGAAGCCTGCAAAGAGACAATACCCATCTGGCGAATAGCTCAGTGTGGTGAAAGCACCAGAGGCGGAGGACGATACGGGGATCTGGTGTGTGTGCGAGAGCGTCACATTTCCAGCATAGTCGCGGACATAGTATACCTGAACGGATCCGTCTTGGCAGCCCACAGCAATCAGGGAGAATCGCGCGTTGATAACAGCTCTTGTCGCATACTGCGATGCAGACTTTGGGATATGAAAACAGTGCCCCTTAAAGAGGCGCTTGGCGTCGGCTTCTTTCGCATCACGACTATCTGGACGATGATGGTAGCGCTGAACAGCAGACGCTCGTCCGTCGTTGGTTATCCAAGTCATGAGGTTCATCGGACGATCATAGGTCATCTCAGTTATTGTGGCCTTTTTTTCCGTCCAGTCCATTTTGCTGATCAATTCCGTCTTCGTCTGTTTGCCCTCGCCGTCAGGGGTCCATCGAATACATTGGACTGCAGCCGGTTTTCGGGTCGCAACGACAAGTTCGTCATCCAATGCCAAGGCACATTCGATCCCAGCATCAACCTTTATCACCATTCGAAAACGGACGCTGACGTCCCGAACCCCGGAGCCTTCGCCAGGTCCCCAGAGAAAATCATCGGGTGGTAGGGCAGCCTGGCCGGGAGAAAGATGTTGCCTCCGGCGCTGGATGTTGTGATAGTTGGGAAAGGTTGATTTGTAAACGCTAGACTCGCCATCGGTGGCTAGAGAGTACGTGATGAGATAACCGTTCGATGTGTGCACGACGAGGATTGCCGAGTCTGGTCGAAGGAATAGATTGACATTGTCGCCGTAGAGGTGGATAGATGACTCGGATCGGACAACAGAAGCGAGAACCACGGTTGGCTAGAGGATAAGATATCAGTACCCGTTCTCCAAGAGCAAGACGAGCAAGACATCGTTCGTTTCTTACCTTTGTCTGCCATACAGTAATTGCGGTCTTGGTTATGACAGCGAACAGATGACCAGTTCGTGAGACCCGGAGAGCGAGGATAGGATCTTTGAGGGGAATCGGGCCGACCGGTGTATCAGCCGCATTGTTCTGGCGTGAGGGATCTGTTGGATCATCATCATGCTCGACAGACTGCACAGCCGGAGTCTTGGGTGTTTTGGGTGCCAGCGACGGGGTATCGGACGGGCCAGGCACTGCTAGCTTGGAACTGGAGTTGGAGACGGCATCGCTGGGCGGCAAGGAGGTAGCGGCCTCTGATTCGGGTATGGAGGACAGTCCATCATGAGACTTGACGAGATGGGGGCTTGTGTTGCGACTGCTGCTCGTAGCATAGATGCGCGGAGTTGCTATGGGCCAGTACATCTCGAAGATGGCGCGACTCCCCTGTCAAGGGAGAACCAGCGCTGCAACTTGAGAATTCGATGCGGCGACCGATCAATCATTTCCATGCATGACTTGTGGCCGTCGAGCGATTCCTGATGATGGCCATCAGGGGACGAATGCGCAATCAATGGCTGGGCAATGAGGCTCCTTGGCTGATACTTTGCACAGAGTTGGAGCTTGGGAGCTTACGGGGCACTTGGCGCTAACCTAAACCACCAAACAGGGGCGGCGCCGCCTCTTGAGCGTGCATCATGTCACTAAAAGATACCGCGGATAGATCGATCCATTTGCAGGGAACTCTGATTGCTGACGGTCTGCGCGCTCGAGCAGCTGCTTCTAGAGAGCCCATGGATCTTATTATGTAACTAAACCCAATACCGTTCTTTCTGCCTTACGGCAATAACATGCCGGAGAGCAAGCCATGGCGTCTCAGCAAATCTCCTTCACCCATTGCTCGCTGCCAGTAACACGTACAGGCCCATTGCAACGATCTAATCATGGGAGACAAGGCTGGCGATAGTGAAAAGGCGTCTGCCAAGGACGGAAACTCATGGAACCCATTTTCAGGGTCTAGATCGGGCCCTACACCAGCGGCAGGCTCATCCTCGTCTGCCGCGGCTGCACCTCACCAAAACGAGGAACCACTGCCAGCATATAATGCCTCGGAGGCCGCGGGGGTGCCGACTGTGAACGCACCCTTCCAATTCCCTGCAGACGAGGAGCTTCCCGCATACTCTGCTACCAACTTTGCAGGCGGCTCAAGCAGCCAGCCATTGCACCAGCAGCCGCCAATCGCCATTCCTCAGGAGAAACCCGACGCAGCCTCGCCTTTCCTGATTGCATATGCACCGTCGCTTCTCAATTATGGCATCACGGAGCAGACTTGGCGCTCGTTCCTCGAGACCGTGTCTGCGTTTCTGGCAGCAAAGGTCTCGGATAGAGCCGTCAGCCATGCTGCAGACATTGCCCGGGACATTGGTGAAGGACCCAAGAGTCTAGGCAAAAGCATCGCTTCACACACGAAGTCAGTTGGAAAGAACATCGCGTCCCAGGCAAAGCGCGGAAATGTCATCGGTGCCGCCTTTGGTGTGATCGGGGGTGCCATCTCCATCCCCGTCCACAGCGCGCTGGCCACTGTTGGGACTGCAGTTTCTCTGCCTGCTCACGCAATTGGAGCTGTCGTCAAGAAGCCCCAGACGCCATACCAGCGCGCCGTGGCCTACGTGGCCGTCGCCAACAAGAAGTGGTTTACGGGCCGCGGCTTACACGCAGTGCTTGCTCACTCACCTGAGCTGGAGCACTTGCTTGCGCTCCCTAACGAGACCCTTGTCCAGAAAGCACAGGCAGAGGAAGCGCCCAGTGCAGCTATCCAGCTCAAGGCACTCGAGGAACATATTGCTGCAGTCCTGGTCCCAGAAAAGGCTCCGTTGGAACTATCAACCGGAACGCTGTGGCTGGTTTTATTCCCCGTCTCTCCAGAAGTGAGGGAGGGCTCTGGCGTTAAGAACTAAATGTGAGAGAGGGATTACTTCTTGATATAATACCTATTTATCAATGTGATTTCTTTTTAAGGTAATTGAGTGTTGCAAGACAATCGTTTCATTTCATACATATAGTCTCGATGTTCAGTTGATGTCGACTTTGGGTATGCATGTTCCCAGAGCCAATGGTACTTCAATCACTACCTACCTTTAATCAGCACAATTTCGCACAATTTCGCACACCTTCTCAAAATCGCCAAAGTAGAACTCCGTATGTTAGTCCTTTGATTGCTATCACATACATATCTTAACTACCTACTGACTGCTCATATAACCCAGGAGGGAGGGCAAACGGAGTAGTGATATATATTCAGGGATATCTGACTGCTCCTCGAAGTAAGTTGCAGCAGCATCGCCCAAGACCATTTGAGTATCTGACGTAGCAACGGCACAACTCAGAGTAATGCAAGCCTAAATATTCTAATGCTGTGGGTGTTGAACCTTTTTGTACTTAATCGAAGGGTGCATAAGCGGGTTGAGCCATCTTCAAGCGAACACTCCGATACTCCGATAGGCCGATCGATAGGGTTTCAGCACTACGCCGATCACCAACGCCTATGCAGCTGCGGGGTACCAGCGCCCTACTTGTCGAGACCTACATGCAACGATGAAGACAATCCATATTTGCCCACAGGGGCATCCGAAACCGGGACCAGGGTGCTGTACGGTATCGGTATGCCCCATTGATCAAAGTGCATACGGGGCACAGGAGCTATCCAGAGACACCGACCGGCCTAGTTGTTCGTAGGTAGATTAGCTGGTGTGCCGCCACTCAACACAGCGAGACACGGACAAAGACGGAGAATCGGTCTCTTCGTCACTTATACGTCGATCTAAGACAGCGCTCGACCGCCTCGCCTCCAAAAGCAGTGGCGCTTGCCCAAATATATAATGCGTCGTCCGAATCTTGTTATCCGGGGCTCTCCCCGACCACACATGTCTTACTCGTCACACCCGACAGCACTACTAAGAATGTCTCCCGCCCTGATAACGAGTTCCCGTGAAGGGCCTTCGGCTCTATCTAACGCCCGCGTATCTCACCTGTCTTCCCGCCATGTGCAGAGTGTTCATAGTAAAGCATTGAGCTCTGATGCGATTCCTTTAGGCAAGAGTGCCCACTATGAAGGCGGTCGTGGAAGGAATATGATCGACGAGATCACTGAGAGGAGAGTGAAGGCAGGAAAGCTGGTTGCAGGTATAGCTGCAGCATCAGATAGTGACATGTTCAAGGGACCGGTAAGGCTCTAATTCACATAATCTCGCCATGTTGCCATTGTTTTGAAACTGACTTTCCTTCTCCGTAGCAAACTGGGAAGCCAAAAGCTAAACGCTGGGATAGTATGTTATCACCAGACTCATCTATAAGAGGCTCATCTTCACTCCTCTTATATACATCCACTAACCTTCATCTCGCAACACAGACCATCTCAGCCAAGAAAGCCGGGAGAGGAAGCCATGTACCCTCAAGCAGGCCGCAAAGTTTCTCAAGAAACCAGGACTGATCTCTCTTGGAGGAGGACTGCCATCAAGCCAATTGTTCCCCATAGCCGAGCTCGGGATGAAAGTGCCCAAATCACCCAACTTCTCCGAGCAGGCCACAATTGAGTCAGGACAGCACATCTCTATTGGCAAATATGATGTCCGGGACCACGATAGCGAGTATGACCTCTCCATCGCCCTCAACTACGGCCAGTCAACCGGCTCTGCGCAGATGATGCGTTTCATCACAGAACACACCGAGCTGGTCTGCCGCCCTCCCTACGCCGACTGGAGGGTATGCCAGACAATTGGCAGCACGGGTGCCCTAGAACAGGCTATCCGCATGTTCTGCGACAAAGACCGCCAGGACTCCATCCTCACCGAGGAGTTCAGCTTCTCAACCGCACTCGAAACATTCGCCCCTCTTGGAATCAACATGTTCGGCGTCAAGATCGACGAGCAAGGACTCATCCCCGAGTCAATGGATGAGATGCTCAGCAATTGGGATGTCGCCGCCCGAGGCGGTGCCAGGAAACCACACGTTCTTTACACCGTACCCTCGGGACAAAACCCAACAGGTGCCACCCAAGGCGCAGAGCGGCGCAAGGCCATCTACCAAGTGGCGCAGAAGCACGACATCTACATCCTCGAGGACGAGCCATACTACTTCCTCCAGATGCAGCCCTACACCGGCGCCGACCAACCCCCCGCCCCCGCCCCCACCAGCGTAGACGAGTTCGTCTCGTCCCTGATCCCTTCACTAGTGAGCATCGACATCGACGGCCGCGTCATGCGCATGGACTCCTTCTCCAAGGTCCTCATCCCGGGCTCGCGGATGGGCTGGGTCGTGGCATCGGAGCAGATCATCGAGCGCTACCAGCGCCACGCCGAGGTGGCCAGCCAGGGCCCCAGCGGGCTGTCGCAGGTGGTCCTCTGGAAGCTCCTGGACGACACCTGGGGCCACGAGGGCTACTTCCAGTGGTTGATCAACCTCCGCGAGGAGTACACCCACAAGAGAGACAAGATGCTGGCGGCGTGTGAGGAGCACCTCCCACAGAGTCTAGTGAGCTGGACGCCACCCGTTGCTGGCATGTTTGTAAGTACCCCCTATTTCCTCCGAAATGTCGAGTCATTCAAGTCCAAAACCCCCTATTTTCATCATTGTTTTGCTAATTATCTTTCAGATGTGGCTTACCGTCGACCACACCCAACACCCCTCTGGCGACGCAACCGACCTAATCAAAATCGAGGAGGACATCTTCAACTCATGCATCGAGAACGGCGTGTTAGTAGCCAGGGGTTCCTGGTTCCTCACTGAGAAGGACAAGGCCCTGAAGGGGCTGTATTTCCGCGTGACATTCGCTTCCGCGAGCGGGGAGCAGATGAGCGAGGCGATCAGCCGGTTTGGCGAGGCTGTGAAGAAGAGCTTCGGTGTCAACTAGACCTTCCAAATCTGTTTCTTCTCCTCAAGTACCGGGGTGAAGAAGTATATCCAGTCTGATAAGTTTTGCATGTATTTGAGGTTTACGCATGTCTCTCATGAGGTGTTGATTTGATGGGTTGCATTAGAATGACGGGCATAATAGATATCCAAATTTGCATCTTTTATGTGAAAGCCATTTTCATTTACACATTCTCAGGATCATGACTCATTCCCATATTTACACGACATAAAGAAAAAGTAAGGAATATCAGTGACTGCATGCTATTCAATCTTTGGCATCCCAAAAGGACACCATGACTCCTTGTGCAGGCCCCAAGGTAATGTCAGTCTTGAGCCGCGGTACACCGCCGTCGAGCTCCGCCATGTGGCTCGTCACGCGCTCAAATCTCTGGAGCAGCCGGCTGAGGACGTAGCTGGTCTCCGTGAGGGCGAACTGCTGCCCGATGCAGATACGCGGGCCCGAGTTGAAGGGGATATAGTAGTGAGGCTTGGGGTACCAGTGCTCCCAGCGCTCGGGGCTGAAGACCTTGGGGTCGGCGAACTTCTCTGAAACCGGCGGGTAGAATTCCTCGCGGCGCTGCATGATGAGGGGAGAGTATGCGATCGGGGTGTCCTTGAGGACGGCGATCGGCTCGGTGCCATCCGGGCCACCGCCCCTAGGAATGGTGGTGTCCTTGAGAGCGAGGCGCACGTTGAAGGGCACAATGGGGTAGAGGCGCAGTGTCTCGTTGACGACAGCCTTCAGATAGGGCATGTTCTTCAGGTACTCGTAAGTTGGCAGGCCGTCCTTGCCCATGGTACTCAGGATCTCGGCCCGCAGCTTCTTGACCGCCTCCGGGTGCCGTGCGAGCTCGTAGATGGCCCAAGAGAGCGTCGACGCCGTGGTGTCGCGGCCGGCGAGGAGGATGGCAACGAGCTGGTCCCTCAACACTTTGCGGTCGCGAGTGAAGCCAGCCAGGGCATGGAGGAAGGTGTATCCCTTGTCAGACTTGTTGTGCTTTTCAAGCTCCTCGGGGCTAAGTCGTAGGGTGCGCTCAATGTAGATATTGACGAATCGGTTCATTGTTTCAAGGCCGGCCCAATATGATGGCTTCGGGATGACTTTGCGGAAGAATGCTGCGCGGGCTATGATATTCTGCACGCGCTGAACCTCGTTGAATGCATCGGCAAATTCATTCTTAGGTGTTCTGCAAGAAAAGGGTCGTCCCCCGTGTTAGCATTGAGAAACAGACTTAGTTCCAAGTCGAGAAGAGCAAACAAGAGACACATACGAGAGGGACATGGTGTCCTTGCCCAGAAGAAACTCAGTTGTGACATCCAATGTATACCGAAAAAAGAGATCAGAGATGTCAAATACCCTGCCATTGCCACTCCCAGGCTTGACCTCCTGATCATGGCTGCTCAAAGGGCCGCAATTGTCAATAGCGCGGAAGAGAATCTTCATATGTGATTCGAAACAGTGCAGGTCGCTCACACGGTCTCGAGTGAACTGCGGTCGGATAAGCTGGCGACTGGCATGCCACTGCTCGCCATCAGTAGTGAATATACTGTCCCCGAGGAAATCAGACCATTCCTTGTGGAACGGTTCACCTTTGCCAAAGTCGTGAAACTGGGTTGCCAGGATAGCCTTGATGTTCTCCGGATCGGCAGTGAAGACGACTCTCTTGTCGAGGACACGAGCTTCCACCGTCCAGACATTGTACTTGAGGAAGAATCCGTCCCGCCAATGCTCAAGGTTTCTGCTTTTCATGGTCTCTATGACCGCAACATACAGAACGTCAAGCCCTTGAGGTTGAAGGATAGTCTGTCAGCCAGGGGAGCCACACACAGCAACAAAATTGTTATACAAAGAGATCAGGGGCTACAAACCGAAAGGCAGATATGATGGCACGCGAAAGCCATATTTCCCCAACCGCTTAATACGGATATGCTCATGGACACGCAAGACAACATATCGGAGGAACAGTGCGGCAGCCAGGAAACCGACCACCGACTTGACAGTGAGGTGTTCAGCCACGGTCTCCACGATGGCCATGGCGGGCAGTTGGTCTCAGAGCCACTATCAAATATACAAAAGGGGATACGGGGCTATCCAAGGTAGGCAATTGGGAGGTAATAGAAGATCTTGCTAAGCTATACAAGACCAGCACACAATGCTACGGCAGGGTGGAGGAGATGCCACCCGGGTTTTATAACTTTTGGCAAAAACACGCGTGCGGCTGGCCCATCCCGACCGCATCATGCGGGGATCATTCGGCGCTCTAGCTATTAACATGATACATGCCGTCCGGAGCGCGTGGAGACCTCTGAGCGATTAGACACCCTTCAATGGCTGAAACGCTGGGGCTGGACACCCAATTGTGTCCTGCGAGGGTGTCCGGCAAGATGCGTGTATGCGGGGAAGGCCTGGGCATGCCATCATACCCTAACCACGGTGGATGGCATCATGGATGGGACGAGAGAGCAGCCGAGGCAGAAGTTTGTAAAAGGCGGTTGCGAATTGGGCGGACGGAGATGGTAGGGGCCGGGCTGAGGCAACTAGGCGACCGGGAGAGATCGCATCGGGGAGATTGAGAGCCCCGAGAGCAAGGTGGGTGGGTGGTATTGAGAATACGCAGCCAGGTGTGAAGCCTCGTGGCGACGATGCTTTGTGCTGCTCTACAGGTGTCAAAACTTCGCTCCCGTCGGACTCTCGGCTGGGCACCGCGACGTGGATACCGGAATCAGGAACGCGCCTTTCGCTCTGCCGTGGGGTAAGTGGGCTTCCACTTCCCAGCCAGCGGTTAATGTCATAGTCCAGTTCGTAATTCGCTCCTCTGTTTGGGATTGTCACCTGCTCGAAGCATCCCGCAGGGGCGGAGAGAACACCCTGATACTCATTCCTCCGTTGGGAAACAGCTGCTCGAGCGAGGGACGGATCTTTCATCACCACTTTCGGAAGCCCTTTGTCCCTCTCTCTTTACCTGGTATCTACACTAGAGACCCTTGCATATTGCCCACTCAATAAACTCAGACAGATGGATAGACACCCATGAGTCTCTCCGTTCGATTTCTACTGACGATGGTCACGGAGCTGTAGCGCAATAAAAGGACTTTTGCTCGCTCAGCTGCCAATTAGATTGCTTTGGAGTCTCAAATCGGAGTCCGCAGGGATTGCTCTTGCGATTGTTTCCGCGACATTGATTGCCTTGAATCGAGATCTAGAACATTGGTACTGAATGGTCAGATTCTGCCGTCATTTCTCTATGGCTGCTGCATGTGACTATTCAGCACTCTCGAGTACTGAGAAGTGTTCTCCTCTGACAAAGCCTCCGAGAGTGATGACCATTGAGCGCCCCTAAACATTCTCACCTTTGTGCTAATATATTTTGGACACACTATGGGTACCTTAACATTGTCGACTATCCTCAATAAAGAGAATAGATTCAAAGAGAGCCAAAAGACATATTCATAGTTACACAATACTAAGCCGCACTAACGATAGATCACACATGAACTTTCTTTATCCGCCATCATTTTGTGACATGTCGCGTAGCACATTGATGAACGGATTGTCCAGGCGAACAGAATCTCCAGGGTAGGTGGCGACAAGGACTCGAGCGGAGCATCACGTGATGCTCTGACACTTCCAGCTGCAAGCCACCCGCTGTTGAAGAACAGCAGTGACGTTTGATTCGTCACACAATACATGCCATGGGCAAGACGTAGGATCTTTCGCATTGTAGTCTTCGCAAAAAAACAGCCTTTCCTCCCTTCTACAGAAACATAGCCGCTTTGAAGCAAGCATAGCCTCCCAGCCACCTCAAACACCGAGAAGGGTGGCCCAACACGCTTGGAAATGAATGTATCACGTGACCACGGCTGACTCGCCTTTGTCGGCATCAAATCAAGAGAGGCTAACAAAGCGACACGAGACAAGGCTTTGTCAACCCAAAGCTCAATTCTATGCAAGGCTTCTAGCTTCCATCAACCTCAACGTTTTAATTCCGACTGGGCCCAACCCAGCGCATCTCCAACTCATCGCATCTTTTCATTTCGCCCACCGAGCGCTGAGACTCAGAATCACGCAGCAAGACAAGTTTTTTGCATCCTTACCCGTATTATCAGCGACAGCTCTACGCGTCGAGACGACGACGTTCGAGGCCGCAGGGCTATCGTCACAACCTCACACACCGAGCCAGTCCCTACTACTTGGCGACGCGACCATGACTGTCGAAGTAGCGCTCAACACGCCGTTGGCCGACGCTCTCAACGCCGCGATCCAGCCAAAGCTGGTAGAGGCGGGATGGGGGAACGGAGACGGCAACGAGGCATCGCTTGCCGAGCTGATCATCCTGATGCTCGCCAATGGAAATCAGGAGGAACAAATCGCCGCAGAGCTCGCAGGCGACCTGCTAGGATTATCGCCGGAAGACTCCAGCGCACGCGACTTCGCCAGATGGCTGTTTGAGCAGATCGACACAATCAATGGCCAGTTGAATGGAACTTCTCAGGCAGGTAAAGATCATGCCGATGCAAGTTACTCAGGAGACATGGATACCGATATGGGTTCCAATGATGCTAGCGGATTGAATGCGTATGTTCCCCTCCTCACCGCCAGACCCGGTATTATGAGCCATACTAACAGAACTCCAGTCCCACAGGACCGCGATCTATGCGAAATGGGAACACCAGAGGCGGAAGAGACAGGCGCACGATGGGGAACAACGCCAGACCTAACGACAGAACGCCAGACTCAGGCCTCCACCGTGTTCGCAGACAAACCGGCAACGAGCGCATCAACACACACACTCGCGGCGGCGGCGCGCAGGCAGGTCCGCGAAACGGGCAAGGCCGGTTCCCCCGAAACAACAATCGGGCAGCAACAGTCCAGCGCGGTCTGGATAACTGGGGCAACCCGGATTTCAACATGATGGGCCAACCCGACTTCAACATGATGGCCAACCAGAACTTTGGCAACATGCCGCCTGAGCTGGCTGAACTCATGAAGCAACAAAATCAACTCATCCAGAATATGGCCTCGCAATTTAATAATACATTCAACAATGGGTCTTATGGACAGGGCAAGCCGTTATCTGACCGCGTACAATATCCCAACAAGAAAAATCAACACCAACGGAAAGCTTTCGGGCAAAAACAGGATGGCGCAAACGGTGAACCCTCTGGCGAGGGAGATGATGTGGACATGTCCGGCAACAAGCGGGAACCGGCAAACCCCGAGGAGAGTGTATGCAAGTACAACCTCAACTGCACCAACAGGGAGTGCAAGTTTGCCCACCAGTCCCCAGCCGCGCCTCACGGTGCACCCGTAGACGTCAACGACGTCTGCACGTTTGGTGCCGCATGCAAGAACCGCAAGTGCGTGGCACGGCACCCGTCGCCCGCGACTAAGCTCGCCCACCAGAGCGAACAAGACTGCAAATTCTTCCCCAACTGCCAGAACCCGAGGTGCCCGTTCAAGCATCCATCGATGCCGCTCTGCCGGAACGGCGCAGACTGCACCACGCCGGGCTGCAAATTCACGCACGTCAAGACGAAGTGCAGGTTCAACCCTTGCCTGAACCCCAACTGCGCCTTTGCGCACGAGGAGGGTCAGCAGGGAGGATTCAAAGATAAGGTCTGGGTTGCAGACTCGGCGAAGGAGCATGTCAGCGAAAGGAAATTTGTGGACGAGGATGGAAACACGGAGCTTGTCAAGCCCGAAGACGAGGGATTCCCAGAAAGCAGTAAGGAGGAGCTTGATGCGGATGTCATCGTCTGAAGTTTGGATATATATTGGGGATGAATGAGACTGATACCACGGAGGACGGGAGGCCCAATCTCGGCGAAAGCAAAGAAAAGAGCGAATTCTGAAGGGTCGCCGAGCGGCACCTAGGCTTTTCAAAAAAGGAAAAAGCAATGGTTGTATGATTGCATGGTTATATCATCTGTTTCTTTTCATTCATGAGGGGGGCGTTTTGGAGTGGTGAGCTTGACGCAGACGAGTCAAGGTCGTATGAATACCTATGGAATTACCGTAATTACCTAGATAGATTGCCAATCAAGGCTGGCAGCTCAAACGTTACGAGCCTGCTATCATCTTCTGATGGACAAATCAATCTGCCCTTGCCTCCCTTAATTGATCATTGTGTTGATATTGTAGTGAGCGAAGGCCGTATCGGCGGGGAGCGGTGGAGTGGTGGCATTCCGTGATGGTGGGAAGACCCCTGTAGAAGGTACTTTTAGCGCCCGCCAGTTCGACGTCTGATTCTGGCCTTGTCCCTCCAACGCCGTGCCTCGAGCTCGCAATGAGGCATCAACGCTCGAAATGATGAGCGCGCTGCGGACACAAGCCTCTCGCAGGGCTCTGCAGAGCTGCTGCTGCCGTTCCCGGCCCGTCCTGTCCCGTCACGCGACTCAATTCCTGCCCGCGCCGGCCCGATCGTTCCACCCTCCCGAATACTCACCAGCCGACCCAAAGGACTTCAATCGAAAGGTTCGGGAATTGGTCAAATCCTCGCCCGTGCCTGAGAATGCAAGAATTGCCATTGTCGGTGCTGGCCTGACCGGTCTCACCACTGCGTACTATCTTGCCCAGGACCTGCCTCCAGGATGCAAGATTGTCATCTATGACGGCCAGAATCGCGTGGGGGGCTGGATTCGATCAGAGACGCACTCGGTGGATGTCGGGGGCACCAAGTCCCAGGTTCTGTTTGAGCGAGGTCCCAGGGCCATCTCTCCCGGTGACACGCTGCATGGCCAACAGGATCGCCTTGTGCTATACGACTTGGTGAGGCTGCTTGAACTGTCTTTGCGACATTGATACGTTGTACTTCCGCTAACGGATATGTAATATAGTTGCTGAATCACGGTCTCATAGCTTACCCCGGCCGACCAAACCTAGCACGATTTATTTACAGCCCGCAGGGACATCTGGTGAACTTGTCAGGCATACGTCTCGACCCATCGATATTTGAAGAGCCTATTTACAGATTGATGCTCAAGGGAGGTCTGTGGTGGACTCTGAAGTGGCGCTTCAGAAGACCGGGCTGGTTTCCCAAGGATGACGTCTCACTGGGGGAGTACGTGGAGCGAGCGTCCGGGAGTCGACAGCTGGTTGAGGATGTGGCCTCTGCCGGAGTCCACGGCATTTGGGGCGGTGACATCGACAAGATCAGTGCCATGAGCGCCCTGGGACTCCATTTCCAGTCGGCGAGCCTGACATATGGGCAGGCCGAAGACCTCGGTCTACGCGTGACTGAGCAGAGGTTCGTGTCACAGTTCCTACAGGACCGGCCTTACGTCAAGACTATGTATGCCTTGAAACCGCCGGCTCTCGTCAACTTTGGAAAGTTCGGCCTGGAATCGCTCCCGATTGCATTGGCGAATTCGCTTGAATCCGATAGCAGAGTCGAGATGAGACTGGGAAACCCTATTAGCGAGATTGAGTACGACCCTAGCGAGAGGAAGGTCAAGGTAAGCCGAAATCCTATTAGATATGCTTTTGTTTTCGCATCTGACTTTCTTTCCCCCCTTTAGATTACAGATTCAAACCAACAAACCGAGGTCTACGACAAAGTCATCGCGACCACCTCTGGCCAGCACGCATACCAGCTGACTGGCGGCAAATTAAAACATCTTCAGGACTCAGAATCAGTAAACATCATGACAGTCAACCTCTGGTATCCCCAAGAGACCCTCGTCCCCTCCGGGCTCGGCTACCTCATCCCCAAGTCCTGCCCACCAGAGCTGAACCCTGAACGCGCCCTGGGCGTCTTCTTCGACAGCAACGTGGCCGAGCAGCAGCAGAGGCAAGAAGGCGGCACCAAGGTCTTCGTCCTCATGGGCGGGCACCAGTACGAGGGCATGGAGCCCCCGTCGGAGGCCCAGGCCATCGACCAGGCCAAGAGCCTGCTCCACCGCCACCTGGGCATCCCCATCGACCTGCCCAGCTACGCCGTCTCCAAGCTGGCCAAGGGCTGCCTGCCGCAGCACCACGTCGGCCATCACAGGCGCATGGCGAACCTCTCGTACGAGCTGATGGACAAGTTCGAGAACAGGCTCGCGCTCATCGGCGGCTCCTACTCGCGGCCCGGCGTGGCGAGCGCCCTCCGCGCCGGCTTCGACATGGCACACGCGATAACGAGGGAGAACTTCTACGATAACGGTGTCACGCGCTTCAGCCATAAGGAGGTCTCGGATCCATACTTTCCCTTTGGGGAGAAGGCATATCTCGACAGGAACCAATGATCTTGTTGATTGTATACTATGTAGACAATATAAAACGATTTGATGTTGCCGTGAGGCTGGACTCACACACTACTTGTACTATCTAGAATATCCTCGGGCGTCGCCCGCATGAATTTAAATACCTCGATTAATCCACGTTTCTTACTCTCCGGTGCAGTCCCTCGGTTTGTAATTTCCGCATCAGCGCAAATGTCAATGTAGGTGAAATGCCGATCGGTCATGTTTTTCCTCCCAATAACTTCTTTCAGATTTAAGCTCTGAAGGGCTGCGAACGAATCCGTGACAAGGGCGTGGCATGAATTCAAGTGTTTGATCAGTGCCTTTTGCCGTGCTTGGCGACCTTTTGCCGTGGAGCTATATTTGCATTGTGGGAATATGCAGTGGCTGTCCATTGCAGACAACATCGTGCTCCGTTGGCCTTGGTGCAGTTCCTCGGTTTCTAGGATAATATCATGCTCCCCTGGTCCTGGTGCTCGAAGGAAGAGCTCTTGAAACTCTAATTAATCCATATTCCCTACTCTCTGGTGCAATCCCTCGGTTTCTAAGACGGCATCATGTTCCCCTGGTCCTGGTGCTCGAAGGAAGAGCTCTTGGAACTCCAGCCGTAGGGCAAAGGATGTTTTTTTGTGACAATACACACGCCAGTCAACGACCCCCCCTGCCCCCGAAGTATTCCATCTCAATCTGTGTCGGAGATGCCTCGCTCTTCTTCGTTTAAAGAATAATACATCTTGCATAATAGGAGCCAGACTCCCGTGGTGAGGATATGGGTGCATGTCCTTCACAACTTTGAGACTCTTGACCCTCCGTGATGGCCATCTCGCAAACATCCCACTTGAAAAAAATCCCAATCCAAGCAACTTCTTCCCAGGAGCTGGATAATTCCCATGCGTTAGAGAAACCAAGATACCATATGACCCAGCCCATCTCCTAAAGGAACAAAAGTGAGACTTCATGTAGTGCGGAGGCTTTATGGCCTCGCTTCCAGTATCCCACCGAGCTCCATAACCCGCGCCTCCTGCTTCCACTGCCCCCTATTAAACGACCACTGCGGACTCGGACGCTTCACCACATACTGTTTGCCTGTGAAGGGGTTCCAACAGTGCATCGCGACACCAAAGCCGCCTTCTCCAACCTCAATCTCGATCGATCCCTCCTCGTGAAAGTATTTCGGGACTGTGAGAGGAACATGTTGCGACAACGGACCGTTGGGGTCCTTTCCCTGCCTGAACAGTTGGGTCTGCATGCCTCGCGCCTGGAGGCCCTGAAGGGCTTTACCAGGGAGTATATCGAAGATCGCTTTGTCTTGAATAACGATCCTCAACCGCCACCGATCGAGTTGGCCTGGTGTCGATTGCAGTTCTCGATAGATGTCTGGCGTATCACGCCCTGCCAGTATCCACTCAGCATTGCGGCCAGCTCACAGCGAACCCAAGCTCGAGATAAGGCTCTGTGATAGCAGGATTGGTCACAGGATATCAGAGACCACTTTGCTACTTTCATTGAAGGCGCGGATTCCTTCAGTTGCCGCCACTGATCTGCCAGATCATAGCCAACTGGACGTTTCAGGGATGGCGACCCGAAGTATTGTTTCATCCTCTCTCTGGGGCAGCAAGTTGAGCTGATAAGCATCTCTCCTCTTGTTTTCCGGTTCCTGCGGTCTCTTTCTCTGTCGCGCTTGAGCAGTCCATTGTGCATCTCCAGTAGTAGCCAGTCTGGTTTTGGCGATACCAGCAAACCCGGCGTCCTCTGGGACTGTCCCAGAATCCAACTTCAAAGGAGGAAGGCGATTGAGTTTGTCCATCATTTAAACCACGCCCGGTGAGAAATTGTCCTCAAAAGAGCGGCTAGGATGCCTTCCACTGCAGCGACCACAACGGCAAATCGTGAGCACAATCCTCCTCTGATGTCTCATGAATAGCTATTCTAAGCTTCACACCACCTTGAAAGATCTGGCGAATTGAATCGGGCCACCGCGGCCGGAAATCTCTTCGTGAATGTCCACCCCAGGAACGAACCCTCGAATCGATAGAGACGGGGGCCATACGAGAGCCACTGGAATGAAAAATGCAGCGTGTTTCAGTTTTATGTCGGTAATGAACCAAGCTTCGTTTGTTCGAACACCGAGATCGCCCCGCCCGCTTCGATGCTCAGTGACTCTGCGTCCACACGACCTCTTTGGCGTGTCTCTGGACTCGAGTGAGCATTGATTTGGTGGCCATAGCATACCCCAAGAACATAGGGCATTTTGGCATTGGCAGGGAATTATGCGCCTCGCTCAGATCAAAGAGAAAGGCAGCCCCGCCGAGCTTGTCCTTCTGCGCGATCAGATGTACCTCCTCTGCTCCAATGGCGGTGGGTACATCTGGCTTCCCAGGTTGGTTACCTGGGCCATAGCATCAGCTGCGCCTGGTTTGCGACATCGTCCGTAATGGGCTGGTCGCCCCTATCCTCCATAGTAGCGATATCCTTTCGGTCGAATGTGTAGAATAATCCTGACCGATTTGATCCAAAGTTGAGCTGAAGTTGCTTCCCCTCCTTTGAGCTTAGCCAGTGCTGAGCGGAGCGGTTATCAGTACCGCGTTGGTAGACCGTTATTTGGTGACAACCTCTGCAGCCTTGATATTGCAGCCGGGGATCCCCTCTCCAGGGTATTGGCTCAAACTTCAAAAGAAGGTCAGACATATACGCAGGATCTGCCTTCATGTCTTTTTCACCGTCTTCGAACTGATTTGCCCGTTCGTTACGGCAAAACTGAACCATGAAGTTGTGAAGATTTTGTCTCCGTTAGGGGGGGAAAGGAGAGCGGCTGATTGGTCCTCCCTCAGCTGGCGATACACTCCACGGAATTTGGAGCTGACCACTTCCACCTGGACCTGCTTGGATCCGATGGAATAGGCCGTTGGCGATGGACAGACATATGTCCATGATCAACTCGATGTTGCCGCCCTCCCTCTTGTGGCGTACCTCCTCCATCTTACCCCGATGGAACGTAGCTCGGTACTGGGGAAGAAGAAAGACCAGTTGCTACCCGTCCGCGATAAGCTTCATGTTCTCTGCCATGCAGCCATCATCACCACCCAACTGGCAGCGACAACTTTGCTGAGACCATGGCTGGAGCAGGGTTTTCATCATGGGTAAAGTCAACTCCCCGCTGGCCGTGAAGCTGTCTATGAGCATAAGCAATTGGTCAGACACTGGCTTGTTCATCATGATAGCCCCGGTGATTTCCTGACCCAGGGCGCACAGAACTCGAAGACAAGCATCCGGCGTAATTTCAGTATGAAACAAGAAAGTCAAATCATCCTTCAGCGAGGGACATAATGAAGACGCGAAAGATCCTCATCTGTGGTCGTCCTGAGGAGCAGCGCCAGGATGATCGGGGTGTGGGAAGAAGTGGGCGGTCTTTTACGTCAGCTCATCACCCACGACCGTGTCGATGAAGATGTCGTGGGAATGTTTGTTAATGATGAGCGACCTCAGAACTCTTTGGGCCTCTCTCTGCCAGCTATCGATTCTCTGCACGCCATATCATGTCGGAAATTTCATCTCAAGGACCAAATCAAGGCAACCTTTACCTGGTTGCTCGGCCGCCTCGCCTTATTGCTCCTTAGAAGGCCGGAGAGGGATTGATCAAATGGCTGACCTTTGTGCTCAAACCTCTCTTCCCTTGGCCACCCCCCCGACGTCTCCGTAACAAGAGCTGCCTTCATCGGACGAATACGCCTCTGTCTATCGAGAGCGTAACGAAAGAACTTGCGTTCAGCATTCGGCTAGTCGCGTCTAGCATGATGCCTATGAGAAAATCTCGTGGTGCATTCTTTTGCTTTGCAACCATAAAAGGTGTGGCCTGCATCGTGGCACTTGGGGCACCAGAGGGCAAAGTTCTGAGACAAAATGACCGCCTCAAGGGAAACGAGAATTGTTTTCACCTTCTGATAAGTATGCTCTCCAGGCCCTCAATCTTTGTCGTCTCGCAAGATCGATCTCTCATAGCGGGCTCGAAAGACAGAACGTGTTCCTACCGAACAGCATCCTTTTGATCCGAGGATCAAGTTGGAGATTCAAAGCCGCTCAAGGAGCTTTCCCCTCTGAAACTGCCCAAGACTGGAATTAATAGTAGGTCGGTGCGCGAACTACTCGGCCAAACCGCCCAGGCTCTTGAGCTATTGTTGAAAAGGGATAGCAACTGAGGCAATTCTTGGGGCTCAGCTTTGTGTTTGATTTTCTCTCGATTCTGCTTGCCGTGAGGGACAACGGCCAGCATGGCAAGTCTCGCGTTCAGGGGAAGCAGAGGCGATGGATCATCATCGCACGGTCTCTGGGCGAAATTGCTAGTATTCTATTTCTGGAAAATTTCTTTGGGCAGCCTATTTTCCAATTCCTGATACTCCCAATGGGTGGCGTTCTGGAAAGAAGGAATCATGAGACAAGAAACAACGAATGCCTCAGAAACTGTGATGTTACCTCAAGTAGAACAAAAACGGAAATTTCTGAGGGTCGAGAAAGAATGAAAAAGGATCTTGGCTCAAAATGCTTATTCAAGGAGAATAGGTAGGTAGTCTAAGCACAGTGAGGAACGCCTGGGCTCATAACCAGTTGAGTGGTGTCAAGGCGGTGATCCAAAAACTAAGAACTAGAGAGGATTTTCGAGGTTCTCTGGATCATAAGGACAAAATCTTCGAGAGGATTTTGTTCGAGTTCATCAACATCGACATGAGCAAGGAATCGATCCCAACCCAACGAATTTCCGTCAGGGTAGGACCCTACGACTGCGATTCTAACGCAAGTCGCAAGCTCACCTGTTTCCTTCACATCTCTTCTCCATTTAGGATTAGTGTCCACTGAATCCTGGAGAATCTAATAGAAAGAAAGAGAAACCGACAGGATTACAATGGAGGATGGTAGGGAAACTTTTCGGGAGGAAGGAAGCAAGAGCGAGGCAAACGTTTCACCCAACCGTGTGTAAGTTAGATGTGTAAGTCCCCAAACGAACAACG